CCTAACAGTGGAGATGGCTCCACAGTGAGCACTGTGTTAGGGTCCCAGGAAACCTTTTACGGTCCCGGTAGTGAGTCCGGTCCGTCACACTCTCTGGGGCCCGAGCGGTGGAAGCCTTGGTGTGGCTCACAGGGCCACCACACACATGCTGGTGGTCTGGCCGTCCGGGATGCCTGAGGAGCTGGCACCAGGTTGTAAATCAGCTTACTCACCAAGCCCACAGTCCAGAGCCACGGTAACCACCTCTTCCCATGCGGTATTGTTGAGGGTTAACCACCAGCTTACCCAGTAGAGAATTACACCCAATTATAGGGCTGTTGAACCTTTCTAAGTAAAAGTCCCAAATACAAAACAATGCCTAGGGCCAGCTACCTTCACTCAAAGCAGCTACATGTATTTTATCTCTTCTGACTGCAGGAGAAGAGACTCTGTGGCTTACTACTAATGCTGATTATTCAAGGTAATGGCCATAGCGTGGGGAGTTCTGGAAACTAAGTCAAAACCAGAGCTCTTGGCCATGTTCTCTGTGGAATGGAACCCTCTCGGGACAAGCAGAAAGGGCCGACCCCATTGTGTCTGGGTTGGTGTGCGTTCTGATCCCAAACACTGACAGAGACCACTGGCTTCTTCATTCCCAACCCCAAGTTCTCTGGAAGTGGACTGGGGTTGTCCCGGGGCAGGTCAAGAGCTGACTGTGGGTGAGGAAGCAGGTCTTGGGAAAGATGTCCCTTCTGTGGTTCTGGCCACATCAGCTCAGGCCACAGCATCGTTGACTGGGGATGTTATTTCTGTAAGGTTTAGGGCTTCTTCCATCCTTACTGCACATTGTAATATTTGGGAATTTTAATCTATGGTAAAACATTGTCATTAACTCAGCTCATCATTATGGGGATTTAGAAATGAAAGGTTAAATGCTGCTAATGCGAAAGAACTACATAAACATAAAACATGCTTTTAACAGATTGCTTCTAAGGGAGATGTTAAACTACTCATTAACCTGTCCACTAGGAATCTGACCGAGGCACATACACTAACCAGAAACTGCATGTTAGGGCCGCGGATACAGCGGCTGCTCCCCAGTGCGGGTTAGTTTCCAGGGAAGCCTCATACAATGAAAGAAGAGAGACTGCCTGTGACGGTGAAGGCAGAAGGCTTGTCTGGAGTGGACTGTATGACAGATGGAGCTATGTTGACATCTGCATAAGTGTTTCAAAGTTCGAAGTGGAAATTTTACAGTCAGTGCCTGGTCCTCAGAAAAAGAAGCGCCGTCTATCAAAAGAGCTGAGTCTGAGGTCTCCTCCTCCTGCCCCCACCTCCTCCTTCCTCCTCCTCCTCCTCCTCCTCCCTCATTCTCCTCCTTCTCACCCCTTCCTTCCCACTTCCCCCTCCTCCTCCTCCTTCTTAATAACCTTTTTATTTTAGAATCATTTCAGATTTGCAGAAACACTGCTAAAGTGGCAGAGCTCTCACCTACCCTTCACCCCCACTCACATTTATTTTTTTGCCATGGCTCATCTGTCACAGCTAAGAAACCAACAGGAACTAAACCCCACAGTTTGTTCCACTAGCTTTTTCCTCACATCTCTGTCTGTTCTAGGTTCCCATCCATGTTACCCTCTTGTCTCCTTAGCCTCTTCTGGTCTGTGAGTTTCTCAGGCTTCGCTTGTTTTCCAGGCTTTACCACTTTGGAGGAATGCCGGTCAGATGTTGTGTAGAATCTGCTCAGTTTGGGTCTGTCTGCAGTTTTTCTTATGGCTAGATGGGGCTTTGGATTTGGGGGAGGGAGACCTCCTAGTGAGGTGCCAGTCTCCTCATATCTTATCCAGAGTGCGTGCCGTCAGCAGGGCCTGTCGCTGCCGCGGTCAGCCTTGGTCACCTGGCCAAGCTTCTGGTGGCCAGGGCTCTCCACTGGGAAGGCACTCTTCCCCTCCCATGCTGTCCTGTCCCTGGAAGTGTTACTGTGGTCAGCCCACACTTCTGGATGGGGACGTATATAGCTATGCTTCACCTCCCTGTGAGGAGTATCTACATAAATCAGTGGAAATTCTGTGCACGAGATCTGTCCCTGTGTGTTTATTTATATCAATATTGGTTTGTGGGTACTTATTGCAGACTGTGGGTCATCATTCAATACTACATTATTTGTTCTGTTGCTCGCGCTGTTCCAGCTTTGCCCCTTGGGAATGCTTGCTGCTGCGCACTGTGTTCTTTGACCTATTATTCCAGGCTGATCATCTCGTCTATTTCCAGACCTAGTCCTAGAATGAGCTGCGTCTCCAAGGAGCCCTGGTTCCTTTTGTTACGGAATAAATAGAAAACCGAGATCTGGGCCCTGAGTGGGTGGTTCTATTTTGCTGGCTCCTTCCTAATGAGATAGAATTGACAGCAAGCTCTGCAGCAGAGAACCCACCCCTGCAGCTGCTCTAGGGAACAAATCATGTTCATTGTCAGTAGTTTATTAGGTTTGTGTTCTGGTTTGGAAAAGTCAGTGCCATTAGGCTCTGCAAATATTTGCGGAACACAGCATGTCATGGTCAGCTGGGGAGGGCATGTTCTAAGTCAATACTCCGCTGGGCGAACTCATTAGAATGTCGCTTTCCTGAAATAGTCTTTGTGAGGTTCACTTCTATGGCTTCTTGTTTTCTGAAGCAGACTGGTCACAATTGGTCTGGTCATTAGGTCAGGGCTTGGTCCTCTTCATAAGGAAAGTTGACCTGCAGACGGGCACGGCAGTTTTCACCCGGCACCGTACCTGTTTGTTCGCTGCATGCACTTCTTCCTGGCCGGTGCAAGAAGTAGTACTTGTTGAGGAGCGTCCTGGAAGGCAAGGAGCGTTTTCATACTGGAAGCATGGCAAAGGCACAGGCTGGCTTCAGAGACCTCAGGAAGAGACAGAAAGGAAGCTTCGATACAATACCTGTGGCACTCGTGCCCTTTAAGTTACCTGGGATGGCTCAAGCCCCAGACCAGCCTGACAGCCCTCCATGACGTTGTTGTAGGAGACTGAGCCTAAGCTCTGGGTATGTATGGCTGAAAACTCTGTGGAGGCACCTCGGTGGTGCATGGCTTTATAGGGACATCGAGGGCATGCTTAGATAGGTACCAGAGAGAGAACAGAGCGGCTTAGTACTGCCAAGTTAAATCACACTGTGGAATTTTAGAAAGGGAATACCAGAACCGCCTTGTGAGAAGTTCTATTAGGGGTCCATCAGACCATTTTCTTTTCAAGGGGCCAGAACTGTGGCCACGCGCCCGGATCACTGGGTATTTGTGTAAACGTCTCGAGTGATTAGGGTGTGCCCACTATTGTGTCCTCCAACTGGACTCCATCCCCTAAAGGTTACTGATACGCCCTCCGATGCCGCAAGAAGCCTCCAGGTGAACACCTCCAGGCAGAGAATCCAGAGAGGAAATCACCTGGCTTTGCCACGGACGCCTGTGTGCACTGCCCTCTCTGACACGCAGTGACCCCCTCCTTTCCCCTGGGTTTGTTGTAACCCTAAAGCCACGTTACAGTGACTTTGCAGAGCACAGAGAGGTTGCAACGTGAGACATTATCTCACATGCAGGTAATTACTGGCTACATGGTACATGTGCATCACAGTGACTGTCCCAGAAGCTCTCGTTTTCAGGAGAGTGTGGCCGAGGGGTCTCACTTCAGCCACTGAGGAAACACCAGGAGTCACCCTCTGTAGGTCCCAGGGGACAAATCAAGTCCAGACTTGGGGGGAGGGGCTGCCACTTCTCTTGCTCCCTACAGCTCTGCTGCTGTGGAAAACATGCGTCAGGGAAGTGCGCTGTGTCCCCCTGCTGTGCTCAGTGTCATTTAGAAGTTGGGATATGAAATTGCCACCATCCCTGGGCTGCAGATGTGAGCAACACCGCACAGGTTCATACTGGCAGCTTTGCCATGAAGAAAAATGATGACAAGGCCACCTATTCGGGCCACTAGGTAGCAAAGGCCCTGAGCTCTGAGAGGCCGTGTCTGAGGAAGCGTGTTTCCCTTCGTGGCAGAGACGGGCCATGAGCTGGCAGCATGCAACAGGGTGAACAAAACTGGGTCTGTCATTCTTGAAAACCAGTGGGATATTCTTCCCAGATGCAGGAAAATGCATGACAGAATAAAGGCTCCGCTGCATTTATAAAGTGAAATGTATGATAGATCCCCCTCCCACCCCAGGTATTTCTTTTAAAATATTTCTCCATGACGTAGAAAATAGAACCGGTCTAGTTCCATGACACTTCCTTTACCCAAAGCCTAAAACTTCAGTGTTCTGTTCTTATACAACTACGGTTCATTTTATAATGCATCCGCTTTTGTTTTAGAGGATAATCACTCACATCTTAGAAAGGGAGGAAATTATTGGATGGAGCTGGCCTGATTTTAGGGCCACTTTTCCCTGTCCGTTTGAGATTCCTTTTTCTCCAGACTGTCCAATCAGGCCACCACTTCCGCTCTGTTTCTGAAGTTCCGACTTCATAGCTGTTGTCTCTCATTCCGCGAACTGGACCTTGCAGTTTCTCAGACCTATAACGAACCTACGTGTTACTATTTCCTTTTCGTTAGCTGTGCTGATTCCATGTGGCTCTGCGTATGTCCAGATGCCTTCAGGTCACTTTTTATAATTTGGGGAAAGCTGTAAAAATTACACTGATAAACATTTCACCCTGAATGGACTGAGCTGCTTAAGGGTCTAGTTTAGGCTTCTGTGAGAGCACGCTGGTGGCCTTCACTGGCCTGGTTACCCTCTCGGACGTGTGCACACCTGCCCCATGACCACCCAGGTCCCTCCCTGTGGGGTGGACGTGGCAGGGGGCCAGGGCCTGCGTGAGCAGGTGAGAACAAAGCCGGGGGATGCAGCTCCGGGACTGGTCCGCCAGTGCCTGCTCGGGCGGGGTCACGCCCTCTCTGCGTACCCCGGGAGAGAGAATGCCTGACATCCTCGTTTCGCCCGTTCGTGCCCTTTCCTCACCGCCTGGCCGATTGTCTCTGCCCCCAGCTCTGCTTTGTGATGTTCTGGACCCCCAACGTCTCCGAGAAAATCCTGATAGACATCATTGGTGTGGACTTCGCCTTTGCAGAACTCTGCGTCGTTCCTCTGCGAATCTTCTCCTTCTTCCCGATCCCAGGTAAAGAACAACAGAGAACCTCCTGCTTACCCGCGTGCCTGATCCAGTCTTCTTTCTTTGGAACATTTGCGATCATGTCCCAGACAAAAATGTACAAGTTCACAGTGGATCGGAACAATGGAAAGACAATGAAAGTTCAAGAAACAAATCAAACAGGGATCATTTATTTCTTAAAGAACAGTGGTCACAAACACAGTACAAGGGAAGTGAATGCAAAGAGAGTGTGAGAAATTTGGGCGCGAGAGAACCACGCCGTGTCCTGACTGCGGGGTGGGGACACAGCCCTAGGCCCGAATTAAAAGTCTTAGAAATGTATATTCAAAAGTCAGCTTTTTAGGTGTATTAATTTAAGACGTAAAGTGAGTGAGGACGTAGACTATAAAATCTGGAGAAGTACAAAGAAAGAGAGGGACTGCTCAAGGTAAGAATTTAGCCGCAGAGTTGAGGCCAGACAGGGAAAGCCCGTTGCCAGAGTGGAAGCTGGTTTGGATGTCCCCAAAGTGGGAGGGCAGCGTGACGTGTGCCGTCCAGGGTCCGGCCGTCGTCTGTGGAATGAGAAGAGCAGGTTGCAGGAGCGTTGGCCAGTGTGCTGCCTTTTCTGTGATGAATGCAGCACATATGCCTGTATGTAACACATTTAGGGCAAGTGCTTGCATGTCGACAAGTCTAGAAGTAACTCGCCAAAGTGCTAACAGTGGTTACCTCTGGGAAGTAGGGCAAGAACCCTGAGGTATCAGGACTGGGAGGAAGACTTTTTGTATTATATTCCCTTTTAGCACCAAATTGTATGTTATTAACTCTTAAAAATGTTATTGCCCCCCAAATTTCACCTCAATCATTGAGTGAGCCTGAATCCAGAGAACCACAATAAGGTTAAGAAACAGGCCGAGGGGCTGGCTGAGGCCAGAACCAGTGGTGCCCCTGGTGGCCCCGTGCTGTCATCCCCAAGCCAGCCCAAGCTGCCCCTGCCCTTAGACGCTGAACAGTCCTGGAAGCTGGCGCTCTCGGGTGTCACCTTGCTGGCTCTGCAGAAAGGGAGGAATGGAAGATCAGGGCCATTTGATGGGGCAGAGGGGAAGACAGGACACTGGGGAGCTGAACTTTGGCAGGTGACGCCACCTAGGGGTGGCCGCCCTCAATGGCGATTAAAGCATAGTCTTGACCCAGGGAGCTGGAAGTCCCAAGAACTACAGCTAGACGGAGATGGGACTCACCGCTATCACCTCTGGGCTAGACTTCCTCACCTGCCATAGGGCTTGAAGAGAGCCATCGGCTTCCAGCTGTCTTTGCAGCCTGCTGGGCTTAGGCCAACCAGATCAGCATTCCACCTGTGTGCCCTCTCCTTTGCCCTCGGCCAAACCCAGTGTGTGTCTGTGCCTCTTCGATACAGCCTTCCACGCTGGGGCGGGCACCCCGTGAGACCAGGAAGGCAGCAGGTCTGTCTCCCAGTGTGCCGGGGACACTAGTTTTCACCCCAGAGCGAGCACTTCCTTCCCCCTTCACAAGGTCTTTGCCACCGTACATGGGAAAAAGAGCGAGGCCTCACGCTTCCCTAAACTCCCTCCAGTTCCAGATCAGATATACACATTCAGGGCACTTCCTGCTGATAACGGTGTGTTTCCTCCAAAACCACATCCAGTCAGTCCACACTTGTCACTGGGGCCCCTCCATGGCCCTCGGGCTGGGCGCCTGCCCTCCCGCAGCTCACATCTGGAGGGGGAGATGGGCAAGGTCTCTGTGAAATATCAACCCATCAGAACGACAACAGGGAACTGTTAGGGGGGTGAGAAAGGGAGGTGACTGAGGTCCAAGTGGTCAGCGACGGCTGGGAGGCAATGAGAGGACGCGAGCAGGCCCCTTTCCTCCCGACGCCTCTGTCTCCATGTCGCCCCAAGGGTACTGTTGGCAGGGAAGCCTGGGCTTTTGGTCCAGCACTTCTCTTCACTCGGAATCAAATTTCATCACCATCAAGTTCTTCTCTCTGAGTTTTCTCTTTTAGAGGAAGGATCTGAGCCTGAGGCTGAGGGCAGGGTGGAGCCGGCTGGGGGGTGGCAGGAGCAGGCAGGCCCCCCAGGAGACGGCAGTGACGAGGCCGGAGCCCAGGCAGGCAGGGCACTGCCCTCAGCTCCGCAGCCTGGCAGCAGCAGCAAGGCCGCGTCCCCAAGGTGCTGCCCGGAGGCTGGAAGCGAAAGGCGGTGGGGCCCAGAGGAGCAGGTGGTCCCTGACGAGTCCTTCCTTCCCCCTGCAGTCACCGTGAGGGCCCATTTCACTGGGTGGCTGATGACACTGAAGAAGACCTTCGTCCTGGCCCCCAGCTCCGTGCTGCGGATTATCGTCCTCATCACCAGCCTTGTGGTCCTGCCCTACCTGGGGTAAGTCTCCGGAGGTTTGGGGCTGTGGGTCCCGCCACCAAAGTACGCTGTCGAGGGTACGTCTTTTTTGTGTAAAATCCCCAAGCATTTGTAGAAGTAGAAATGCAGAGTCACGTTTTATTCTCTGCCTGGGCACTAGATGGGAGGTTGCTGAGATCCATGGTAGAAAAGTACTTTGGAGGTCAGGCCTACCCACAGTGTCCATGAGCACCTACTATGCTCCGCAGTCTCCTGCAGCAGGGACGTTACTCAGTCCTTCCACCTTGGAAACCCGCACTCTGCAGAGAGGAGGGCTGAGAGGTACTGCTGGCTCAGCAGTGATGGGCACATAGCCAGCCACCGGCTGAGAGACCTGGAGGGGGCGCAGGAGACAGCCGGGACCACCACTCCCACCCCCGCCCCCACTGCAAGCTGGTGCACCGCTTACTACGTGCAGACCTTGAATTCGACTGTCTGGTGCTCCTGCGGTCTGCGCCTTTCCTGGGTCTTGGCTGCGTTTCCACTCTGCACACGCCTCAACACAGCTTTAACAAACTGATGGCCTTGGCATTCTCATCCCCAGGGTACACGGAGCCACCCTGGGCGTGGGCTCCCTCCTCGCGGGGTTTGTGGGAGAATCCACCATGGTCGCCATCGCCGCATGCTACGTCTATCGGAAACAGGTAAGAGACATGGTGACAGACACCACCTGCGTGGCTGGGATGCCTCCTCCCAGGTGCAGAAAGGCTTGGGTGGCATCCTGAGGGCCCACAGTGGTGGTGACTCCTCACACTCATCTCGTACCTCGGCTGGGCCCATGCTGCCCACCGTGACTCAGGGCCCCTGCACACGAGCAGCACTCACAGCAAAGTGGCTGAGCCGTCAGCCAGGCCTGACAATAGGGGACACTTATGGGACTGTGTGGGCCACTCCTCACACCCGGCCTTGCCTCAAAAGGCAGTTGAGCTTCACAGGAGGGACAACTCAGAACTACGGGTCCTGCATTCTGCTGTTGCCTCCAGGGAACTGAAAAACGTAGAAATGAAATGACGGTGTTGACCATGCCAGAAAGCCCTGAAAGGGCGTCCCTGGCAGCCAAGTCCCCTGAGTTCGTAAGTCCTTAAAAACTCAGCCTTGCTCACTAAGGAATGACCGACCTAGAAAATGTTGGGCGACCAGGACGCCCTCTCACGCCCTGTGCCCCACAGACCTCTTCCTCTGCAACCCCAGCTCCCGTGTCCCCACAGGGAGGCTCTCCAGAGCCCCACCACACACCTGCACGCATGCACGCGCACACACTCAGTATTTACCTCAGCACATAATTAGTGTATCCTGCAGGGGTGTCTAATTATTGGGGAGTATATGTCTTTCCTTTCTAAGATTATGAATAATCAGGGAGCAGGTGCCCCATCTGACATTATTCATTCAACAGAGAAGGGACGAGATTAACCAGGGAGTGAATGGAGGTGGAGAAGAGAAGGGGTCCCGGGGTATACCTCTGGGGGACACCACTGTGGGCCCCCCCAGCCATGGCAGCCAGGTGGTGACAGCTGAAATTGGCGGAGATTTGGACCTAACCAAGGTTGGTGTTTTGCCTGGCAAATATGATTAAAGAAAAGAGGGCAAGGAAGCAATTACAATTATTGAGCATTTCATTTAAGCTGGTGAAAGAGGGGAGAGGGGACCAAAAGGTGGGTCGTGGAGGCAGGGTCCTGGAGGGAGGGGCCGGACAGCAGGAGGAGGAGGATGGTGTCCCTGACATTGGCCTGTGGGTGGTGCTGAAGGTGTTGTAATGACAAGCTCTCCAGTGAGCCGCGGAGGGGCGCCGGAGAACCTGATCCCCCAGGAAGAAAAGCCAAGGCATCAAGAGTCCGGTTACTGCAAGGCAGGCACTGTGGCCCTGCAGCCACCGGAATTAGGACAGGCCACGAGCAGGGTGGGAGAGAACGACAGCAAACCCAGGCTGTTCCGGAGAAAGGAATAGTCTGGGAGCAGCAGGAAGTGTCTGTGCTGCCGTGAGGGTGGGGGAGCACGGCCCCTACTAGGAGGGGCAGCCGACAGGGAAGCTGTGTCCTTGGGTAGAGGCAGGTGTCCACCAGCTGACAACATGGTGCCAGAGGGCACTGGGGAGAGTGGCTGGGACAGGACCCCCCAAGTGCCTAGCAGAGGCCCGGGCACCCAGCCAGTACCCAAGTTGCCACACTGAGAGGCAATAGCTGAAGCAAGGTGTGGCCTCAGCGAGGTTACCCCAGCCATTAACAAGATCCAAGTCCGATACCCAGTGGCCCCCCTGCCCTCGGCTTTGCTGTGATGTGCCCGTCACAGCCCACACTTACGTGTCTTCTTTGGTCTAGAAAAAGAAGACTGAGAATGAGTCTGCGGTGGATGGGGAAGACTCAGCCATGACGGACATACCTCCGGCAGAGGAGGGGACAGACGTCGTGGAAATGAGAGAGGAGAACGAATAAGGCCCGGGACATGGCGCTGCAGGGACGGTCGAGAAGACACTCAGCCTCATCTCCTCTCCCACTGAATTTTGTTCCCTTTTGGTTTTGGTTTTGGTAACGAAAGAGGCCTTGATTTAAAGGTTTCCTGTACACTCTCTGGCATACTGGGTATGCTCACACGCAGGCGGGGGCCTGGGGAGTGGTCTTCGCCGTTGCTTTGTAAAAACCAACGAAACAGTTGACTTCATGCCTCTGCTTCATGAAAACCCAAAAGACGTAGCTGCCTCTAGTCCGAGTGGACGCCCCCTCCCTCGGACAGTCTCCACTTGGAACCAAAGGACTGCGGCTCTGCACTCCGACGCGCCACGGCCACCGCTGCCCAGCAGGCCCCACGCTGCACCCTGTCCCTTTGCATCTCTCTTAAGAACACAAGGTTACTTGGCTTTCTGTGATTGGCTTCGCAGTCACACGGCTGTGCAGAGAGAGGGAAACCAGGTGGCCTTCCGCTGCGGAGTCGTCAACCGCCCACTGCGCATGTGCAGAGGATCTGCCTGCAGGGCCCTTCCCACAGCAGAAGGGACTTGTGAACGCACTGGGCAGGCGGATGGGAATGACCTCCTGTGGGAAAGTTTGAGATGCCACAGGAGCAGACGACTGACAGCGTCCGACACTCGCATTTCGCCCGGCCTTCTCCTGAAGGGAGCGAGCTCCCACGTCGTGCCCGCCGTGTACATACCCAGCTAACTCGAACACCGTCGCAGAAAGCGCTTCTTCAAATTTCAGCATCCTTCCGCATGGCTTCCCCCGAAGGCTTGTTCTTCACTTACCTTCCTGAAGATGGCACTAGAGCAAGGGAAACGGAGCATTCTAACTCTGCGTTTTAGTTTTTACAGTGAACTGAAGCTTTAAGGCATAATCTCATTCTAACGCCAGGTTGCCGTATTGTAACTTTTGAAGTAGATGTATTACCTGGTTCAGCCATTCTTAGTCATAACCGTGCGGTACAGGTAATTCCAGTGTAGTCCCCTCTCCCACCACAGGATAAAGGAAGACATTTTATAAACAATATCAAAGTCACTATGTGATGTTCCCTGAGATGACACATTTGAAATCCATTTAGTGCAGTCTATTTTTCTAAGTTTTGGAAAGCGGGTTTTTTCTTTAAAAAAAAAATACGGACACAGTTCAGTAAATTCTTGATTTCGACAAAATTCCTAGACTGAAAGAACCTAGACACAAAAAAATATTTTAAAGATATAGATACTGTATATGTTATGTAATTTATTTTAGGCTATAATACATTTCCTATTTTCGCATTTTCAATAAAATGTCTCTAATACAATACAGTGATTGCTCGTGTGTCCACACGCCTGGAGTGAAACAGAGGGTGTCCCCAAACATCGTCAAGACGTAGTGTGTCAGCAGCGTCCCAGGGCCTGCCGTTCATACGCAGCTATAAGGACCGGTGGATGAGAACTGCTTTCTGTCCTGGGTGAGGGGTATAAATGGGTCAGCTGGTGTAGACACTGGAGAGGATGGAAACAGATGCTTGAAGGGGGAAAAAAAAAAAAAAAGACCAAGAAAAAAGGCAAGGCTTCTGTATTTACTGTTTTCAATTTACTGTTTTCAGGACTGTATGATCCCATTGTTCTTCCCAGGAAAGAGACTGTAAGAGCATAAAGTCATGAACATCACAGGGTTGCATTAGCATTTCTGGACACCCAGGAACCTCAGGGGTGCCCACGGCAAGGCCAAATCCTCCACAGACATGGGTGCTGAAAACTAGGACGCATAGCTTTGGTAGTTTCAGGGCAGATCTGAGAAGATAGGGAAAAATTCGAACTGTATCAGTTTTGTTTTTTTTTTTTTTAAGTACATGGCTAAAAAACTAAACAGGAGAATTTTTTAACATGGGTGACTATTTCATGCTGTGGGGTTAGAGTTTAAAGATTAAATTGAAAAAACTAGTCTCTAAATCAGAGAAAGATCAACTAGAGACTCCATTGGCAACTAGCACATATCATGGTGACTTCAGACACCCTTTTGGTGACAGATTCACAGACTATAGGACATGTGGGTAGAATTTTGGAGGCACAGGAGGCGGCAACCCCCAGACCCAGACCCAGACCCAGACCCCGACGACGTGGCTGTGATTGGCCTTGAAGCACACGCTCTCTCCCACAGTTCCTTCACTTGGGCTGCTGAAGTCCCAGCCTAACAAACACACACCTTCCCTTCTAAAGCAGACCTGTTCCTGGCAGGTTCTCCTGCATCTGTTCTGACCGCCAAGCCCAGGGAAGGCCGTCAAACCAGACAAGTGTAGGCTCTTCTTCCCACTTTTCAGAGTAAGGAGGAGCACTCTTTTGACTTTGCTGACCAAAGAAACATTCTCCCAACACAGCTGTTTGGTTTTTTATAATTGCACGGTGCTCTGCTGATATATTAGAAGGGCACGATGCCCATGAGGGTATCATGTCAAGGACCGTGAAAAAACCAGGTGTGACTTTCTCGATGTTGAGTGACTGCTTCAGACAAATAGAATCTAAAACACAGGTGGCAAACACAAGGCCCATGGGCCAAGTCCAACCCTCCACCTTGTTTCATCCAGCAGCAGCACCAAGCTCCTTGCCTCTAGTTACAGAGTACATTTATACTGTCCTAAAATTACACTCATCCCTTGAAGGCAACCATGAGGCTGATGTGGCCCCCGGTGAAAATGAGTTTGACACCCCTGATCTAAAACTGTAGGGTCATAAAGGCATTTTTAGTGTAAATGCTGAGACGTGGGTTTGGGCAGTTCGAAGCAGACTGTCTGGAGGGAGGTTTTTCTCTGCACAAACCCGGGTCAGAGCAGCTCCTTCAGGGGCCTCCCTGCTCCTCTGAGGGGCACAGGCAAGGTTAGTCTCAACACACAGCTGTGTGTGCTCTGCCCCCAATTAGTGCGATCTCTGTGGCCCTGGGCGTCAGTGAGACGCCCAAGAATTGAGCACAAAGAACCAGGCAAGGCTCGCTCCAGGAAAGCCTTCATAGGGCTGGGCCTGCCAGTCATATGGCTCAGGACATGTTGAGGGGTTTGAGCGCTGGCAGGAACCCCTCACCTGTTTGGAATTCTTTCATTTGGGCACAGAAAGCCGCTGGTTTACATTATTGCGTACACAGAAAGCCAGGTGCACCCCCTTGCTATTGCCTACATTGGGCTCATCTGCTACCAGAGGTCCTCCTCTCCTGTTGCATGTGTGTGTGTCGGTGTGTGCATTGTGTGGTGTTGCATCTCAGCACTAACAGGCAGTTAGTTTGGCTTTGGAAATGTCCAAGGATGACTGACACCTTCAGAATAGGAAAAATTTAGAGTTGGGCTAGGTGGATATACTGGACGGGGCCAAGTCAAGCTTTGCTAAAAGTAAATGCACTTTTTCACTCCTGGAGTCTCCCGGTAAACAGACATGGGAGGGGCAGGGGCAGAGGCCTGTGGTGAGGGTGGCTGGCTCTCCACCGCTCTCCACCCGCCGTTCCCTACGCTGAGCGTTCTCTGGCTCCTGGGGGGGCTTTCCAGCCAGGGCCAGCTCTGTGATCCTCCCAAGCAGACTTTTCTGGATCGCTCTCAGGTTTGGGATAGCCATTCCATCCCCAAATCTCAGAGAAATTACCCAGGAATATTTTACAGTAAGAAGTGAAAAAAGTCAATAGCTCCCTCCCTCCTAATCATTCTTCATTTGGGGTCTTTTCTATGGGAACGGGGGGGGGGGGGAGTAACTTTTTATGTGCCCTTAGGTTCTAGAAGCTCGATGATTTAAAGACACAGTAGTTCTGGTTTTTTGGTTTTTTTTTTTTACTCCAAGCTGAAGTGGGAGAATGAGAATCTGTGTTGAAAAACAGGAAGTACGTATCTTGTGGTAATTCAATTACATGACCTTAAGAAATATTTTCTTGTATTTAAAAATCTTTCTACTCCAGCAACTCTACTGTGCCCCAACTGGCCTGGTTTCTGGCCTCTCACTTCGCAAGTGAGCTGACCCCTAAACTTACAAGGAAGTCTCCAAAGTGATGCACAGTGCAGGAAAAGGGGTCTTTGATAATCCACATCCTGCTTTGGGGGGGTGGGGGTAACCTAAATTGCGATAGGAAGGGCTTTCCAAGACGCGGTGATTCACTGAGACATCTGCTTTGCACGTGCAGCCGATTCCCTAAAGGCAGCTGCTCCCCACTGCCTGCCTGCTGCACAGCCCCTCCCACACACGCGGCTCTTTCATGGAAGGCGTTTGAACCACAGAAATGCGTGTTTGAGCGATGCACTTGGTCAAGACACCAGATCTTCCTCTGTGTGGTTGAGCCTCTGTTTTTGTCATTTGCTGCAGCAAAACAGCCTGTGATCCTTCCGCTGACCTCACCACACATAACACAGGACGCGGAGGAAGTCTGACTGCAGGCGCACCGCAGCCTGGCTGCCTGCCCCGTAAAGGCTGAACGTCTGAAATGAACGGCGCGAGGCTCCAAATGGAGGAACTGTGTTATGGAATCAAAGTAACCCCCTTCAAAGTCGGAAAAGGTGGGGCATTATGTAGTTTGCTGTCCACTCTCAACAGGGAAGGTTAATACAGAAGGATGGTGAAATGTAGTTTTGAGTTCATTTGCTTCTGCAGAGGAGAGGCTAAAACTACTGGCCACTGCAGTCAGTATGCTAAGAACAGCACCGAAGGTGGGCCTCCCAAGTCACTTTTTTAATAATTACTTTTGCCAAGTTCAAGTGGTTCTGAAAGGATCTTTTTCTCTGCTTCATGTGCAATCGACCTTAAGAGTGGGCACTTTTACAGACAGCGGTCAGCTCCATGCAGATTCAGCACGGTTCCCACAGGGTACCTCTTTTCAGGTTAGGGAACTTACAGTGCACTTTGCTAACAAAACCTCACAGTGGCTTCTACAGCGCATGTACAAAAAAAGCGCACAAGAGCTTAGGAGCCTGTTCGCTCTCCACAAGTATACCTGGTCTCAGGTTAAAGAATTGGGGGCGGGGGGCAGACCAGCCAAAAACAGTTGTGCTGTTCACAGTCTGGCTTCATGGAAATTCAGTGGCATGTTGAAATTGGTCATTACTTTAAGATTTAAAGGTAGATGTTCCCAAGTACGAGCCAGGGACAAGAAATGGTGCCTTCGGAGTTGGGACATGTTGCATCCAGGAGAATTCTGGTTACCTGAAGTGTGGGGCTGTGACACGGGGGACTCACAGTTTGGATGAACCTGCTACTGAAGGTGAACTTCAAACCACCCTGGCCTAACACAGGAGCTACAGGGTACACAAGCACACCACTCAGCACCAGCAGCAAGGACCAGTCACACCATGAAGCAGCCCATCTCCCAGGGGGTCACAGCCACAAGGCTGGTGGGGTACATACACAGCTCCCTGGGCCCATGATCTAAAGCTGGAATGACCAAGGACTTGGCTGTAGAACTTCAGAAATTTGGACAGAGCCACACGTGGGAGTGCGGGCAAGCCTACACTCATTCATTCAAGGAACACTTCTGTGCTGAGGCCACAGACTCGGAGCAGCCCTTCCACGTCCCTCACAGTGGCCTCACGGTGGCCACCTACCTGTCCAGTGAGAGAGAGGCTTGGGCCACCCTTCCTCAGGCTCCTTCCTGGGCCAACATCTTGCGTATGATGTAGGGCATAGAACACGGTACAGGATCCCGCAATGGAAAAATAAAATTACCTCATTCTTCACTTCAGATCAGATCAGCAGCAGTGATCCAGATTTTTCTGAATAAAGTTAAGCCTGCTGAGAGTCATTCTACATGTGCTTGGCTGTCCATTCACAGGCTTTTCAGTTTCACCAATAAATAAATAAGACCAACTTGTGGCTCTAATTTAAACTGTTGAAACCAAACACATTAAAATATTTGTGCAGCCTTTGATTAACATTGATGAAAGAGATCAGTATAAGATATATGTTGCATTTAAGCAAGTACTGTGTATGTAATTAACAGATGTAAGTTTCTACATTGTTAAGAGCATTTATACATGCTTTTAAAATTTTTTTGGAGGATTCATGCTCCCCTATTGTTAAATAGCTTTAATTTTAGTTTAAGTAAAGCTTCAACAGTTGGCATACAATTGGGATCGTTTTTCTTCATTTTCTTATTCTAACCATTAGTCTGTTTACACAGCCAAAATCAAATGGCTGCAGACTTCAATTTCCTTTTTTTTTTTTGTCAACAAACAGGAGATATTAAAATTTCACCTTTTGCCTTGGTAGCTAAACTAACCATTGGGACCATTCTCTAAACTACTGGTCTCATTTAAATATGACCCATTTCTTCACATTTTACTCTGCATTAAAGTGAATTTTTTACTTCCTATCACTACGGCAACATTGAAAGGACTACTCGGAAGCCCCACTTCTCTACCACCTTCCAAAAAGGGTTAGCAAATGCAGGCGGGTGTTAGGGAAGTCAGAGGAGCAGAGCCCTAAAGCCCGCATCTGACTGTCCTTATCAACCTTGATGCTTTGAACCAAAGGCATTCCCTGACTCGCTTCCAATGGCCTGTTTTCCTCTGAGCTGCTCTATTACGTCTTTGCCCTCAAATCCCAGGTCTCAGCCCCACTCCTACGATGCTTCCCTTTGATGGCCTCCAATACTGCCATGGTTTTGAATTCTAAAAGTCACGTCTTTCCGCCCACAGCTCTTGGGCTATGGCTGTCTTTCTGTCCAGCTGTAATGCCAGGCTGCGGAGTATGCTGGGCTCCAACCTCACACTCTCCCCACAGCAGTACGACCACCAGGGCAGACCTGCATCTTTCCCAAGCCCCCTCCTGACAGCCCAGATGAATCACTGTATCGGCCACGTAAAAATCTACTCCATGACACCCCCATCCCCACCGGCCGGGTCCCACTACCCCCACCTGTTCTCCCACCTAGTATCTCTCACTTCACCCCGCCTCTGCGTCCTCTGTAGTCCCGCTGGCTCAGCTCGGAGGCTCCTGGGTGCTTTGAATCCAAAGTCTAACACAGAATAAACAGATAAATTGATTCTCATTCAACTTTGCAGTACGCCACACACCTAAGTTCTTCATCTCATCCATGTGAAAAAGCTGTCTTGCTCTGAAGGCAGGTGGCTGAGAAACGCTGGCTGTGGTTGGCTCCGGCCACCCCCAGGCCCCCAGGCCCTGTTAGGACAGAAGCTGCCAAGTTCATGCAGGACGGACTGCAAAAGCGCTTTCTCCCCCACATCTGTCCGTGCCACGTCCTGAATCAGCTCTGGTCTTCCTGTCCCCCACCCGCTGCCACTGCCCAGATTCAGCAGAGCCTTCCTCGCCCTGCAACTGTTCTAAAAGCTGTTTAATTCCTCCTTCTTTAGAAAAAAATAGCAATGGCCCCCATGCCCAGGTCCCAGGCCTGCTCCCACCTTAGTTAGGAATCCAGTTCTACATGCAGCCTGGTGACCTCATCTGGGCCTGTTTCCAATTCCAAACGCACACGGTGATCCCCGCGGCTGCTTTCCCAGCCCCGACTTGTTCCCAAGCTTCCAAACGGTCACCTCCTAACGCCTCAGAGTTGGGGCCAGACAGGCCTTGGTCTTCAGCCTTTCCAGGCACACTTCTCTCCCACCCTTCCCAGGCTCTCTCCTGACAGATAAATCTCATCACCCACCCAGAAACCTACTCCATGCCCAGCCTTCCCCCTCATATCTCTTGCTCCCCTCCCTCCCTCTGTCCCCTGACAACCAGGTGCTCCTGGCCACCTAGGTTCTGGGATCTGCAGGGGCCTGAGGAGCCTTCTCCAGGCTCACATCCCCTTGGACTGCGACGTCAACAACATGTCCTGGCATTTCGCTTTGCACCATCCGTACAACCATTTCTGGCTGTCTGCCCCCCACCTCCACCCTGACCTGACTTTCTAGGCTGGCCCTTCCTGTCCATCTGGGCTGCCACCAGAAGAGCCCCGCACTGAGTGAGCACCAGGCTAGGCCTGGGCTACAGGTAGCAAACGGGAGCCCAGCCAGAGGGAAAGAGGGCGCTCTCCCGCAGAGAGAAGCAGCAAGACAAAATGGGGATCCTGCTGCCGCCCGGCCTCCAGCTGCAGGCATCTTGGCGCCCAGCCCCACTCCCCAAGCGTCTCCCTGACTTTCCTGTTCCTCACCCACCTCGAGGGCATAACCAGGAGCTGATATTCAGAAAGAGAATCCGTAGACATGGTTTTTCTGAGGAGGAGCCCTCTCCTCCCAAGGATGTGTGCCCATGTGTGTATGGCAGGGGGTGTCCCCCGATACCATAGGCCTAGTGATAGGGCTTGGCAGGAGACCCTCAGAGAGCCTGAATGGGCCCTACTGTAAGGGGACCACAGGAGAGGGGACACAGCCTGGTTAGCACGTGCCAAGTCTGAGAGGGCTGAAGGTGCTAAGGTCTTGCCCACGAACCTGGGCCACACAGATCAACGAGCTGACTGGGATCATCTCAGGTCTGGAGCAGGTGAACAGAGCTCAGAGAAAGAAGTTGGAGATACCACAGGAGCTGCATGTATTACGAGAGCAGAACTGGACTTGGCCCCGACCAGTACATCCAAACCCAACTCTAAAAGCTTCCGATTCGGAAGGTGTCAGTCATCCACGGACATTTCCAAAGCCAAAGCACATGCTAGTGCTGAAACGCAACACAAAACACAGAGGACAGAGAGGAGGATCTTGGGTACCAGATGCGCAGCGAGAGGGCGAGTCTCCTAGGAGCTGCACAGGCGGAAGTGGTGAGTCAGAGACGGGAGCACCAGCCTTGTCAAGGGAGCTGCCTCCAAGGGGCCCTGATGTGGGGGCAGGAGGTGGGGACCGAGGGGTCTCCCACCCCTGGAAGAGCCCCAGGCAAGAATGAGAGAATGAGAACTGGCCAGGCCCCAGCAGGGAGGCTGGTTTAGGACAGCAGCCATCAGGAGTAAGATTTCCCCACCCTGCCCTCCCGCCCCGCCTCCTCCTTCCTGCCCCAACCCCGGAGGCCAGACCCGGACTTAGCAATTAGTCATGGCCTTGACTCCTATACAAGATTATTACAACTGGAATAGCATTTGGCAACTTAAAAGTGATTATTAAGCCTCTTTATGATCCAAGCATGCTGTGAAAATTCACGGGATGGATACCCCACGTTGAGTTTTTGTCAGGGAGCTGGGGAAATATTCCCCTACTGTGGGAATATGTCTTGAACTGTACAAAGCTAAAGCTCTGTGACTCTACCCTTGGAGAAATGCCAGCTCAGCTCACGAAGGTTGGACAGGACAGGAGTAGGCCCAGGAGGGACAGGGCGGGGAGGGCAGGGCTCACTGACCCTGGCACCTCCGAGTGCGGAACCGCGCCGCTCAAAGCGAGCATTCTTCGGTGAATGAATGAAGGCATTCCCACCTTCCTTGCCTGAACATGCTCTGACCCTAGGTTACCTGCTTCCCCCCCATGACCTTCTCATCTCCAACCCCTCTTCCTGATGAAGCTCCAGCCCTCTGGGACTCACGATAACCTGAGCCACTTCTTGTCACTTGCAACCCACGGGGCTCGACAAGGATCCCTGATCACCCCTCCATCAGCCTCCCCTTCCAGATGTGCTCACCCATCTCCTACAGACAGGAAAATCGAAAGTATTCCCACATATGCCAGTCTTTTTAGAAGCTGTAACAAATGGACAAAGGACATGAGCAGATGGCTCCCAGAAAAATGACCCACGAATGACTTCTACAGATGCAAACAGGCTCAGCCTTGCTCCAGCAAAGGAATGAAAACTGCAAGTCAAGCTAACAACACAGCCCACATCAGAGTCGGTTAGAGCTCCGCATGGGAGAAGGTGTAGGTAGCCGGCGCTCCTACTCCCAGTGGGAATGCCAGTCGATACTTCTTCAGAGGAAAATGTGGCACGTGTTTCAGCACACTGAACTAAGAGATTACTATCATGGGCAAGTATCATAAGAAAAGCAATGCAAGAAAGAAATACAAGGGACCAGTAAGTATCCAAGAAAAATGTTTACCACAACTAGGATCAAAAACCAGTTAAAACACGACATCTTTCTCTTACCATTTGTTTTTGTTTTTTTTTTTTTTGCTGTCAAAGTTAAAAATTAAAGGACCCCTACTGTCACCTGGGGACAATGAAGCAGGTTCTCCAGTTCCTGCTGCTGACAGTGAACTTCCTGCAACTTTTTTGGAGGAAAGTTTGACAAAGGTCAAGAGCTTTAACCATGATCAACTCAGAGATGCATAAAAAGATTCACTAATAAGAAGGCTCATTATAACAGTTTGTAATTGTGAAAACCAGAAATACTCAGTGATATAATTATGTAATGATTCTTACAGATTTTTAAAAAAACCTTTAGCAGTCACAGTTCCTCGCCATGGCACCCAATTAGGATGTGACCACGTGACTAAGCTGACAACTACTGCTGTACGCGTGCTTTTGCTTTCCCAGCGCTCTGGCGTGTTGAGCAGTGCATTTCCTAAGTAAACAGCACAGTATGTCGCAAGAGCATTTTATCTGCCCTAAACTGCATTCTAGTGCTAGACTTGGGGAGATGGTACTACAGGAACACTTGAAAGGCATTGTCCTAGGTGGTAAGAAATATTCTGAATTGTCACAGTGAACGTAAAGCAGTCCCACTGTCACCAAACTTCACGGCCACCCTTGAGGGAGGAGGGAGGCGTGGAAGAATCCTCGCTCAGCTCCAGGGAGCTGGGGGTGAATGTCTCCCCCAGAGTTCTCCCACCCAAGGGCCATTTCTGTTCTGCTCTCTGGGGCTGTCCTGGGGGCCGGACATCTGCAATCAACCCTCCGGGTCCAGAAAGCCAGAGGTCATTCATTACCAGGCCACTCACACTGAGCTCAGACAAGAGGCGGGGATAGGAGGGGTGGGGAAAGGAGGAGATTCAGAGAACCTACAGAAAGAATGCCCAGGTTTTGAGCAAGACAGAGTTAGTAATGAAAACGTCTCTCTCACTCACACACACACACCACAGCTGGTGTTTTCCTGACCGGCTGGTGGCTGTAGAAGTATTCCTAAGGGCTTCCCTAGGACCCACAGCTTGTGTCCGTTTTCACACGCCCTAGGGCGGCGGGAGGCCACGAGAACTGCCAGCAACAGTGCCCTCGGAATTGGAGCACCCCAATTCAGGCAAGCCGAGGGGCAAGTAGATTCTATCTGATACTTCATTTATTAGCCCATCTGAATGAGGCAGAGGAGGAAGACTGTTGGTGCTGTTTTTCACAGGAAGGCATTTTTCTGCCCACTGCCACGCTGGCACCGCCTTCTGACACCCAACCCGAGCCAGGGGCTCTCCAGGAGCCCAGCGCCGTTTTGCAAAGACTCTGAGACTCAGTAGTCCCTCCACTGCCAGGCAGGCCGGTCCCTGCTGGCTCTGCCTTCGTTCTCTATCCCCGAGAACACTTCTGAGAGCCCACAGTCTCCCCCATCTTCAGCTCACTAACTTCTCTCACTGGCAGTGTGATTCGCGGGCAATGCGCAGGGGTTCCTGCGATCACACTCTGGGTGCGTTTCCATGGGTCCGAAGTTTTGAACCCTGAAGAATGCTGCGTGGACCGCAGGCCTCTCCTTGGCAGACACTCGGGACAGCTGCGTCGGGACTGCGGCCACAGCTCCACCTTGCAGGTCCAGGCAAGCTTCCTCTACGTCTCTCAAGTGCTTGCACATCACACTGCCCCCACCCCAACCAAGACAGACTGTGTGGTGTGGATGAAGATAGATGGAGGGAGGTCTAGTGCCTGGCCTGAGCTCACCCTAACAGCAGGTACTGGGACTGCTACTGGCCCCAGAACCAGGCACCTAATTTGGAGGGATCGAGGGAGGGGGCACACCCAATGGGTTCATCGCTGGAAGGTCATCAGACATCCCAGGCCTGTGTTGGGGTGTTGAAAGTTAAAGCATCGGACCCCAGTCTCCCCAAGTCCTCAGGGGCAGGCACTGAAGCACAGCTGGCCTTCCGAGTTTTTCTTTTCTTGGTTTATTTTCAGTTTTTTTCTTTTTTACAATCCTTAGGGGCCCGGTTTCCATAAAAGGGATTAAGGGCAAGCCCCGACGTGTCTGGGCCTCCATGATGACGAAACTAAACAAGTCACAGAGGAAACTCTCGCCCTGAGCCAAGGGTCCAGCGCAGGTGGGAGGCAAGGCCCCTAACTGACCAGAGCCCGGAGCTGTGTTTTCCAGAGCAGGATAATTTTTTAACAAATGTGGACATGTTACATTGTAAAGAGACTTGGCTGAAAGAGCCAAGAGGAGCAGGGCCGGGTTCACGCCCTGTGTTCCTGCTGTTCTCTCCCCCTTCCCAGCCCAGCCTGCAGGGGGCAGCATCCCCAGGGCAGCAGCCAGGAGGGTTTCCTCTCCAAATTCACATTACAGAAAGTAGAAGCTGCTAAGCGCCGGTGACACCACCAAAACATTTTTATAAAAACAATGGAAACAAGATGATAACTCATTAACTACGTTCATTTTGGCTTAGTCCCCACATCTAAATACTCGGACGCAACCAAAGCCAACCATGGACCCCTGTGGCTCCCGAAAGGCAGGGGCGCCATATTTTAGCACCGTTATAGGAAGGCCTTTTTCAATACATAAAACTCTTCCCATCAAATACAAAATTATTTTGAAGTTCATAATTTCAGTTCAACCACTGGAAAAACGACTGCCAAGCCCACAATATTTCAAGCCCCAGACTATTTTTATTCATTACTCATATTTTGGCAACTTCACCCCTGACCCAGACGTACCCCTAAGAAATCAACAAGACTGAGCTAAAACTCCAGTCAGTGTTCTTCATTAACAGCTCTAGTAATGGGCATTCGAAATTTTAATATACACGGGGCTATAAGGCATGGGAACAGACATACACAATTAACAATCTGTTGACATGACACTGCAATACAATGAATACATTTCCACTCGGTACAGTTCAATGACACTAGCTGACCCGCTCCGCCATCCCCAGTCCTCCATTCCGCCATACCTGCCACACTCTGACCGGCCCCTACTGCGGCACCTCCTGCACGTAAGTCACAACGTGACTGCAGACAGCACACACGCCTGCACATATGCACGGTGCTCACGCCCCTCCTGTGCATGGCCAGCCCACCTTGTCCCCAGTGCTACTGCCACCAGGGGCTCTGGGCAGGCAAACCAGATGAGTTGTGTGCTTTTCATAGCTCCAGGTTATAAACAAAATTATACAAGCCTCAAAATCAGTTGCCCCTGTTTTTATTCTCTGTACAAGCCAGCAATGGCTCCCTGGTCTCCCCACCCCCTCAGAAGAGATCACCAATGAGGGTCCCCAAAAGTGCTGAGCAATGACACGTTACACTTCCATCCCACAGGGACTTGACGTACCTTAGGAAAGGAACTTGCAGAATCCACACACAGAAATCCTTCCACGCCTTCACAGTCATCCTTTTTAAACTGAAGCCCAGGAGGTCTGTCGGGCATCTGCTGTTTCGTTTCTAAGTGCCGTTTTTCCAACTAAAATCAGTCCTTTTTCAATTCACTTCTTACAGTTCCGTGGGCCATGTTTAAATTACTTGACATCATGCCCTGCTTCTGCTCAACTATTTAGGCACTCCAGGCCTTGCACGCACATTTCAGATTCACTTCACACATGCAGGGTTCCTTTCCTATTGCTTTTTAAGTGGCCACAAATCTTTTTGAAAAGGCATTTATTTTTGCGTAGGCCGACAAGCGAGATTCCCCGGAGCTTATACTTCAGAAAACACGTTCTGACTTTCAACGGGGAGTACCTGCAAAGTGCTGCTTAAGGAAGAGAGCAAAGAAAATCATCTAACTTTATTTTAACATTAAAAAGGAGACACAGCCAAGGAGTCTGCTGGAGCCCTAAAGCATGCCGGATGGTAAGCCTGCTGGGCCATTAAATGCAACACAGGGGCACATCAGAGTCAATATCTGGAATACCTTCAAAAACTACACCATGTGCTCACAGGGAAAACAGCACCTTGGGGAGAGGGTTAGAGCAGGAGTAACACGGCCTCTTAGGAAAAAACCCAAAGAACCAAGCACATAGCTTGAAAAGGTCTTTTCTCTCACCAGAGGTGTTAAACTCAAGTGGCCTGACATTTCCTCTGATGAGATCTAGAATTGGAGGGGGAAAGACTCATGAAAGAATAGAGAGGGAACGTCTGTTTTCCTTAAAGTATCATCAGGCGTTAACTGAACACGTAACAGTATGATAACAAGTAAATGGCCACGGAAAGAAAGCAGGGTTGAATGGAAGGACAAATAAAGTGCTTCTCAGATAAGATCAAATTCAAGGAGTTCATCATCACCAAGCCCTTATTATATGAAATGTTAAAGGGACTTATCTAAGAAAAAGAAGTTTAAAAAACATGAACAGTGAAAGGACAGCAAACTCACAGTTATATAACAACCACACCTAAAACAAAAGCAAACTAAAAGGACAGCTAGATCAGGAGTGGAAACATAGAAATGAAGATCTCAAGGAGGGTTAGCAACAGGGGAGTGGGAGGAGGAGAAGGGGGGAGAAGGTACAGAAAATAAGTAGCATAGACAGTAGATAGAAAATAGATGGGAGGGGCAAGAATAGTATGGGAAATATAGAATCTAAAGAACTTGAGACACATGGTCATAAACTAAAGGGGGGTAATGGTGGGGATGGGGGGTAGGGTGGAGGGGAATGAAGGGGGGGGATAGAACAACTGTAACAGCATAATCAATAAAAAAATAAATTAAAAAAAAGAAAGCAGGGTCGATCTTGTTCTGTGCCTTTACAACATTTTCAGATTGAAAGGAGAAGAAACTGCAATCATTTGGGATGAGATTCCGCCTACGCCTAGATGGTAAGGAAAGACCACGCACTGGCCTCTGGTTCTCAGCCGCCGTCACCAGTGTGTTTGCGAGTGAAGCGAACGGGTGCTGTTTGTGCAGAAGTAGCTGAGTGGGTGGCGGGGGGGCAAAACAAGGTCTGAGGGAGCAATGTTAATTTCATGCAACCTGTTAGATGGAAATTCTTTTAGTTTTAAATGCACATACTCAAAGGGGTAAGTCACGCCTGCTTAAGGTGATCATCTTCCTGCCAAAATCAATCGTTAAGGTCCAAAACCTCCGAACCCTTGCAATGCTACTCTGGGGTTGAAGGTAAGCACAGTGTAGGTCCCACCAACCTTCCTCCTAGAACAACCTTATTATTTTAGAGATCCCAGAAGCCATTTTGGTCTCTACTCAATTTCTAGTCTGGTCACCTGACCAGCCCAAGCCAGGAATGAGAAATGCAATTAGGACTCTGGGTACCGAAGGTCCGTGCTGCAACAAAGACACGTTATTTATTTGTTATTTATTTCATTAAATGTGGCCAATCGTCCACATTTCCCGAGGACTATTTCACTGAAAACTGAGCTTCTCTTATGCTCTGACCCCTCTAAGCCTGGACGACAGTCTGAAAGCAGAGTCCAATGTGAGGCCTTGGGACAGAGATATTTTAAACTCATTCTTTTACATTTATCAGTGTGGTGGTGAAGACCACAATTTCTGCACACACACTATCACAGTGGAAAACAAGTCCTTGTGGTGGCACAAAAAAAGAATTTCGTGAGACCTGCACAGGAGGATGTGGTTCTGTGGTGAAGTTTCAAGGGGGTTCCCCCTTACATCATGTACCATGTACAATTAAGGGGGTTCTCCTCCTGACTTCCCAGTGTCCAATTCCCTTTGGCTCCCCTTTCCCAGCTAAATACTGATGGTTAACAGTTGACACCACAAATTCTGCACACGCTCTAACAATAACATTCATAGGAACAACAGAAAAGTATAAAATGTAAACAATTAAGTTGCCCAGAAGTCCAGGTCAAGTTCACTGAGATCAGACTATTTTCAAAATCCAAAGACAGACGATCGTGAGTGTTATTATCAGGAGTGTCATTAAATGCAATAGTGGGTTTGAACAAACGGTCAGATGAACAGAAACCCCCCCCGCTGCCTTGTTCAACCTAAACGTTTGAAGTTACACTTTTAAAAATATTTAAGAATGAATGGTATGTATCTCCTGTTATGTCACAAATACTAAAATGCAGCATCGAAGCCAACAGGCAGTCATTCTGATGACTTCAATTTGGCTTCTGGGCACCTCTTGTCCAAGGCACCACTGCATGTCACAGTGCGAAACACAAGCCTCTCCACTGCCCCCACGTTTGGAGCAGAGTCTGACCCAGTGAGTCGGCATCACCGAACTGCGGTGCTCACGGTGAGGTCACAGGGAAAGCACTAACGTAACGATCTGCACAGTTTTGTGTGTCGAGTTTTCTCAACTAAGAATTTTAATTTTTAAATGAAAGCAAAGCTTAGGTTAAAGAAAGAAAAAGACTGTCCCTCTGAAAGAAAACAATTAGATAGTTTATAAATTTTATTACATTGGACCAAATAAAGATTTAAGTTATTCTAAACTAAAGCTCAACACTTCGGGGCGGCATCACCTCCGAGCCCAGGCGGGTGCCGCTGGCACTGCCCGGAAGAGGACGCGCCTGGCTCCTGAGAACAGTGCCCGCGGCCCCGTCTCCCGGGGGTGGACGATTCAGGCCGAGGCCGACCGTGCTCTGCCAGGCTGCCCGAGGCCCTGCAGCAGCGCTTGCAGCCAGAACACTGCCTCCCTCAGGCCTCCGGAACCCAGTCAGGGGCAGACACAGCTCAGCCACACTTTTGCACCCAGTTCTAGCACACGCTCCTGCTTAAGCTGACTCATGAGAAACCTCAGGCACTCTGCTGTTACTTGTTCCCTACCAGCAGAGGAGTTTCATGAATCTGGGGGGGAAAAAAAAGGCATGAAAAGGGCACAGGAAGACCTGGACCTAGTTCATCCCACCCCTGAAGTCAGATGAGTGGCTGCAGTCATTCAACTTTGGTCTCCTTCTCTGACAAAGCAGCTGGATCTGAGCACTGTTCTGACCGTAACAGTGAACCTGTGGGCTGCAGAATAATAAACAGCTCCCGACTGAGAGCTCAGTCAGCCACAGGCAGCACTCCCCCGGCTCACAGAGCACCACCTGCGCCCCGCACCAGACCTGGTGTGTCCACTGCCTCAGGCACCGATCAGGTCCTTAAAGAGCAGGGATTTCCAGGTGCTGCCACCTCCCTCCTACCCCAGCACCTTCTCCAGCCTTTAAATAACTCGCTTTTGGGCTCAATTCTTAACCTTCTATTAAATGCTCTGTCTAGAATTGGTTTAATTAGTACGTAAATCCAAACCACTACTTGATGGGACTAGCAGAGGACATTCAGCCTGTGCCATTAAAAGACTCCGTCCCAGAATCAGGCCAAGTAAGCAGACAGTGTAGCAAGGGCATCACAGAGACCCACTACCAGCAAAACAAAAAAATTACTATCTTAAAAAAAAAAAATCAAAAGCCAGCTGACTATTAGAGAAAGTTTGAGTTGAGATATAAAGAACATATTCCTCTCCAAAATAAGTCTCTTTTTACAAAAGTATTTGTTTTATGGAAAAGATATAGTCTGCACCTTCCAACAAATGTGCTCTGAAGGCACCCGGTACAACATATTGCTTCATAATGAGGGAAAAACTTGGTTAACTCATTATCCAAAGCTAGTCTTCAGAACTCCTCAGGCCAGCTTGGCTCACAGGGCACAAGAGCTCCCGTAAGTCACCCTAGGAGCCCAGCAGGCCGAGGCCCGAGCCGAGGAGCTGCCTGCACACCGTGGCCCCAAGGCCAGACTGTCCAGGTGCAAGGCCCTCACAGACTGGTCTCCTCACACACTCGGACGGGGATGTTGTAGTGCCGATCGTCCTCGGTGATCAGGGTCACCACCGGCCAGTCCCTGGGTGGGTCTGTGGGGTAGACTGTGATGAACTCTTCAGTGCTGTACTTGGAGAGCCGGTACACCTGGATGGTGTGGCGCACAGCGTAGGCGAGAAGGAACATTTCAACCTGGGGAAGCAAAGCAAATGGGTGAGTGGAGAGCAGCCACCCTGAAAGGTGCCACTTGCTACCTGCTCCATGCCAGGTGTCCCAGGCAGTGCACAGCACCGCTGAGGCACAACCCTTCTTCCTCTCCACGGCCCAGCCCCAGTCCTCTTTCGTATGGTCATTATAAACAGATCACCAAGAATGGATCATATGTCTGATGACAGACTTGTAACCAGAATTTATAAAGAGCTCTTCCAACTCAACAATAAACCACAAAATGACCGGTTTACAAATGGGGCAAAGAATCTGAACAGGCGGTTCTCCAAAGAAGACATGCAAATGGGCAGCACGCACGTGACGAGCCATCGGGGCCGGAATCAGAACCACGGTGAGGCGCGCTCACAGCCTCCGAGTGGCCGGGAGGAGCAAGACCGACGGTGAGGGGGAGCCACTGCTCACCAGGGTGTCTTTTCTTTTGGGGTGACGAAATATTCTGGAACTTGATACAGGTGGTAGTCGCACAACACGGTATACGCACTAAAGGCCCCTGAGCTGTGCACTCTAAAATGGTTGTTTGTATGTGACATGAGCCTCAGTAAAAAAGCAGCAAGGATGTAGAGAAATGAGGCCCTGACGCGGTGCTAGTAGGAATGACAAATGACACAGTTGCTTTAAGAAACAGTTTGAAAGGAAAAAGACTCATGGACATGAACAACAGTGTGGTGATTGCTGGGGCGGGGGTATAAGGAGATTAAATGGTCATGGAAAAAACATAATGAAAAATATAATTTAAAATTTTTTTAATAAAAAAGTGTTTGGCAGTTTCTTAAAATTTTAAACAAAGAATTACCATATGACCCAGCAATTCCTAAGAATATACCAAGAGTACTAAAAACATGTCCACACAAAAAACGTGTGCGTGAATGTTCACAGCAGGATTATTCATAACAGCTAAACAACCCAAACGCCCATCAACTGATGAACGGACGAATAAAATGTAAAACGTCCATACAACAGTGTTTGTCAACAAAAAGGAATGAGGACCTGACCCGTGGCGCAACATGTGTGGACCCTGGAAACTTTAAGCTATGAAAGAAACCACTCGCAAACCCACGTAGTCTGTGGGTGCAATTGCACGAAGTGCCCGTAGCAGGCAAGTCCATGGGGACAGAAAGGAGACTGTGGCTGCCCAGGACTGGGAAGAGTGGGGGAGGAGTGCCCGTGGGCATGAGGTTTCTTTCAGGGGTGATAAAACAGTCTAAAATTAGACTGTCCAGCTGGCAGCAAAACTCTGTAAACGTACTAGAAACCACTGAGTCACACACTTTAAAAGGGTAAACTTCATGGTAGGTAAATTGTATCTCAATAAAGCTGTTTTTCTTTTTTTTAAATGGACTCTCCATGACAGCAGACCTGTGGAGACCCAGGAAGGACTGAGTCCAGCCTAACATGTGAAACATGCTCCACCAGGTTTTTCGCTGCAAGGTATTCACTACCCGTTCAGAGGGCGCAGTAACCTACATTACGAGTACGGGTAACTTTTAAAATAATTATCTTCAGTCCTGCCTGACCCAGCATGACCACCATCTTTGTTCTTCCCTACAGACCAGGAACAGCCAAGCCAAAAAGTCAGCCATGGAAGTAAAGAGGGTAGCACTTTGGAAAGATACTTTAATGCTACTTTAGTGGTTAGCTATTCAAAAACAAAAACAAACTTAGCTTTTTAGGGTAATGTAATGAACTCACAAGAGGCAGAAAGTGCCAACTGTCAGCTCATGGGACAACAGCACAGCACTGAGTCTCTGTAAAACCCTGAACGTAGCTTTTCCGTAGAAGGTCCAAGAGCAGGCTGCGCTCTGCTGGCTACGGTGACTCCATTTCTATTCTGAAGGACACCACCTAATACAGCTACGGCTGCCAAGATGAAACAAGACCCTTCAGATGCCTCTTCTGCGTGCTGCCCGTACGTGTAGACCACCAGAGCCACAACCACTGATCCCATCCACCGTGCTGCGGAAGCCCAGGCTGAGATAACCACAGTGGTTCTAAAACAGGTTCCCAGTTCTTTATCATGCCCTTCCCTTAAGTGCGAGGTGAGTTAGTGACTTGCTAACAAATATAACGCAGTGTGAGTGATTGTGTGTAACTTCCCAGATTAGATCACAAAAGGCACTGACGCTTCTTCCTCATTCTCTTCTTGAATCACTGTCTGACAGAAGCCCAGTGTCGTGAGGACACTCAAACAGCCCTGTCTAGAGAAAGCCACACTGGACAAGGAACTACTACTACGCACTAGGGAAGCACTGAGGCCTCCCCCCGCCAATAGCCAGGTGAGGGAACCAATCTGGACAGAGGTCCTCCGGCTCTGGTGGAGGCCTCAGGAAACTGCAACCACCTGAGACTCCAAGCCAGAACCACCCAACTAGGCCGTTTCTGACTTACTGACCCCCCCAAACTGAGACAATGTTTGATAGTTAAAGCTGGTGTTCTGGACTAATACACTCCAAAAGTTGTAACTCACCTGTTCAAGGCCACCAGTGTGTCCCACCTGGTTTAGATGGTTCCTCAGTAGCTGTCCAGGGTCACTTGATGTGTCCCGAGCAAACAGAAGCACAGAGAAAAATGGTACTTCTTTTCCCTTCTCTTTATCATCATACAGTTCAATGGCTCTGTTTAGCATTAAAAACTTTACAGCTTCGTAAAGGCTATATTCTTCCTCTTCATTTGTGAACAATTCATCACAAGCCGCCTGTCTTGCTTCAGCAGTTCTCAGTTCAGCCAAGCCTGCCCACTGCGATAAAAAAGTTACAGAATAATTACATTTTTGTTCCAAAAGTCCCTGGTATACTTCCATACCACTAGTACAAAATCATGTTCAAAAGTAGGCAAGCATGGGTCACGTACCCATGCTCACAACGTTCAAGTTCGCAGCTCACACAATGGCTCCACTCATCAGACCACACAAACTCCTCATTCAGCTCTTGCCCCGCTAATTTGAAATGAAAGTACAATGCACCAAGCAGAATCACTGGGACCAGGGGAGACAATCTCGAATCCCTAACATTCCAGGCAATGAGACTGAACCAGTGGATCAGAAACACTTAGAGAAGACCTCGCGTGCACGAGTGTGAGGCCTGGGTGTGCAGTGGTGAAGGACAGCTAAAACTACTCCTCTCTGTAAGGGGCTCTCAGGTATAGTTACCCTGACACCTCAAGCCAACCTTGAAAAGTGAAGGTGGGCAAGGAAGATTATGGGGTCTCCTGAATATTAGCTTATAAACGTAATCTTATAACCTCTTAACAATATACATGAATGAATAAGTAAGTTTCAAACAAATAAATCCATTCAGGAAATTCTTATTGACTCCTGATTAAGAACAGAGCAATGCTAGGTAGTCAGCTAAAATAGGCAAACTCTCCCCATAAATACATGGACTTTTAAGTAAATGAGAATAAAAGATGTTGACGTAAAACTAGTCCTTATGAATCACCAGTAACTACTACTCCTCTGAAAAACCATTAAAACTTTACATTCAAGAGTGAATTTTAATAGCAAATGGTGGAGGCACAGCTCTCCAATGTTTGGGTTGAAAGCTGGAACACCTCACATTTTTCCAGAAGTAGATCAAGGTGCGGGTCAAGAGGAAGGCTCTCAGTCGGAGTCGGGGTGGGAGAGCCGACCGCTGGGCCCGAGTTCTCTCGTGTGTGAAATGGCGTAACCACAGCAGTAACACTGTGGCCACTGCGAGAATTAAACACACAGGACATTTAGTGTACGGCCTGGTCCATGGGAAGTGTTAGTAATGCTGGCTCAGATTGGTAACGAACAACTTTCACATTATTTTAAACTGAAAACACTTCAACATTCCCCCAAAATGAGGATGTAGTGACAGCAGACAATTTCCTGAGAACGTAAGAGGGAGAAAAAGGAAACTGTCCCCAGCGGCCGAGCTGAAAAGCCTTCCCACTTGCTCACTCACTCCCACAGGGCCAGAGCTCTGCCCTCAGCCCTCCACTGACCTGGGGAGTGGGTGGCACGGGCCTCCAGCCCCCACAAATGCTGCGCTCTGCTCAACAGGCAAGAACAACAGACTCCCTATGTCCTTCTCTTCCTCCCACCCCTTCGTCACTAGTGTTCCTTTGACATGTATTTTCCAGTCAGCACTTCGGAAGTACACACTAAGTTCCAGGAAGGTAGAGTCTTCAGTTCATGCGTCAGTAAGATATTCCTGAACGCCTACTATGTACCAGGCTCGGGTCTAGGCAGCCTTTCACAGAGCTGAAAGTCTAATGGGGGTGGTGGCATGAATTCCTATCACTGATATTACTATAAGAAGTAAGGACTAAATGTATCCCTGAAACTTGCCGGTATGACTTACCACAAAGACTACATTTGTTACGGCTTCCTTTTAAGAAAGTTAAACAATTCATTAAACATAGCATTTCCTCCGAGAATACATGATATTGGTATTTCTGTTTTACCAAAGACCTCACCAGAAGAGTTTGTGTTCAGCCAAAACTATTTTGCTTAGAAACAAGCCAAGAGCATTTGGTATGCACTTAGTGAGGACTAAGGAGGGTTCTGCTGGGGTGATTAGGAGCGGGAGCTTTGCACTTCTCGGGAAAGGGAAAGTACACGTTCCAAACCTTCTTCCTTAGCAGAGTGAGGGACTCCTTAATTTTATCAACTAGGTCCTCGCTCTTCCCCTCAAATTTCAGTCCAAGTTTCCACTGCTTGATCCAGCTGTATCTGTTTATGAGTTTTTCTGGTAACTAGAGTATCAAGAAACAGAGAGATAAAAAATGTTAACCTTCCAAAAAGTCCATCGCACAGTCCAAGCCATAAGAAACCATGACGCCTACAAACCCACCTTCGTTTCCAGGACTAATCCCTGCAAACCCATCATGTGGGTTTAGAATGGACCACCTGAAGCTGACAGGCAGGCGGGCACTCAGAAAGTGCTGCCCCAGGAGGGCTGCCCGGGTGAAGTGGTGGTTTGGGTTGAGATGCAAGCGCTCAGCCTGCCCTGCACGGCAACGCCAGCCAGGAGCGGTACCCAGCACTCGGTGACAGTTCGTGACGGCGCGTCTACACAGAAGCCTCTCAGCTCCCCGGCACCTGTCTCCGGAAGGTGGTACTGGGCACGTGACGTGGTCCAGCTCAAAGTAAAAACCTGCTCCCTTCCTGATTCGGAAAATAAGACCTAATTTTGATATTAACATACATACTCTAAGTTTTAATATTCAATGAAACAATTATCTAGTTCAACTGCTTAATCGATACAGTAAGCTAAAAACAATGCAACCGAGAACGAGCAGCAGCAGTTCAGGAGGCTGTGACGGCCCAGCGCACTGAAGGAGCAACAGCTGAACCAGAACTTTGCCTGCTTCCCTTTCTTTTCCTGGAGCATTTGTTACTTTCCCTAACCGTCAGTGGAATGTGGAGTCTGAAAGGCAAGCTGGGACACAGCCTGATGGGGACAGCACGGGACTCAGACTCTCCCCGCAGCCCTGGGTGTGCCCATGGAGGAGACTCATATAACTAGGTTGGGAACAGGCATGTCCTGCCGCTGCTATGAAATTTAGAAAGGGAAAAAAAAGTTTACACTCCAAGTCAAAAGATCATTAAAGAATAATTCTTACACTATCCTATGAGGAGCCTGAGCTTGTTGAACAGTTATAAATAGTTTTAAATGAGACCATATGTTCAGTTCTTCTGGAACCCAAGAGCCTGAGGAACTTTTATAAACAGCAGTTCCAGTTTTACCTTCTTAATCTAAAGCAATCATGTAAAATGAAGGCGGTCTCAGCTCCACAAAAAACAAAACCACTGGAGGGGTGGGAATCCCTCTCCGGGTTACCTCAGTGAAGCTGACCCCCACTCACTCACTAGGGGGAGGGGCTTATCCTGATGACAAATGACCACCCTCGCGAGAGCCACCCAGAGCTCTGTGCCCACACTGTCCAGCATTTTGCCAGCACATGGGCAGCTCTGATGTAAACCTTCAGTTAGGTTTTCAGATTTATCGCCAGAACCTAAAATGCCCTCAAGTGGCAGCAAGCTGAAATCACAACTGGGCACAAGGAAGTGCACATGAGCAGAAAATTCCTGGCTACACAGCTGTGAGCTGGGAATCGAGGAAAGGGAAGCCCAGAAGCCCCTCTGAGCACCACAGGACACTGTGCAGGTATCTAAAAAGCAGGCACAACATTCAACTGAATTCCTCGGGGGACCCCAAAGATCTAACTACACAGCTTTATACCGGTATGCTGACTGCATACCGGCTAGTAAAACAGGTAATCAAAGGATGGACAGGTAGTACCTTCCACCCACTTGTCCGGGTTTTGTACTTTGAGGGTGTGTGATCCCTCATCCACCCAACAGACCTCTCATTAGCTTCACTGACAGCTAGTTTTCTCCAAAAGTCCTCTTTATTCTAGGCTCCTTAAACTTCAAACACCCCAGCTCCTTTAGCTCTTCCCAAAAGGAGATGAATCATCTCGGTCATACTCCCATCTGTCCCAAGGATGCAGGCACAGGGCTGCACTTGCTCCTTGAGATGGGAGCTGACCAGCCCAGTTCAAGGCAGGACTGTCGTTGTATTTTAGAAGTGCCCCTTTTAAAACAAGAGCTTTCCTATCCACTGCCGGCCACTGCATCAGGTGGGCTCACATGGGGATTGCAGTCAATCAAGATGCTGATCCGTTTTTGCCCCCTCAAGAGTTGCTGGTAGGGCGGCTCTCCCACAGCTAGCACTTTTGGTTTTGTTTCTCCTTTAATATACATATATGAGCATGCTGGCTGGTGTAGCTCAATGGATTGAGTGCAGCCTGCAAAGCAAAGGGTCGCTGATTCAAATACCAGTCAGGGTACATGCCTGCGTTGCAGGCCAGGTCCCCAGTGGGGGGCACATGAGAAGCAACTACATATTGATGTTTCTCTCCCTCTCTTTCCCCTCTCCCTTCCCATCTAAAAATAATAAAATCTATCTACATCTATATCTATCTATGTATCTATCTATATATGCACAAGACCTCTGATTTTCTTCCAATCAATGTCATATTATCAGTTCCATTCAATCCAAACTATTTTGGGATATTCTATCATCCAACCTATTATGTGACCTCATCTGATGCGTGTCATGGACATTTGACACAATAATATATGACTTCCTTGGGCATCACTACCACAATGCCGACTTAAAACACTGGAGAAGACCTAGCATGGGACACAGCCCCTGACCTTCACCTCCCCAGGAAGCCTCCCCCAGAGTGACATCTATTGTCCCTCTTCTAGGCTACTGTTCAACCACCTACTAAGCAAATTCTCCTAAGACTATGCAGAGGGTGCTAGTTTCTTGAACTAGTGCTAGAATTACAGAAATCTGCATCCTAAAACCCCAGAAGACTCACTCACTATACATGGGCCCAAAAAAATGGGCGTATATTGTAGAATATACCAACCCATTCACGCAGATACCCTGAAGTCAAACTGCACCTAAATGCTTTTTATAAACTCTAAACACCTAATTCACAGCTCAATTATTAAATAAATTTTATCATTTTTCTCTTCTGGGAAATACTATTTCTGGTTACTTTACTATGCAAAATCACCACAACCACACAAAACCAAAGGACCCACAGGCTGATGTCATATAGCAGAGAGGACTATCACAGCACATGGGCAGAAAAGGGAAGTTTTTCTCACAAAAACGACGAGAAACATTGTGGACTCAAACCTACAGTAGCAGCGTACCAGCGTGAGGTCCGGAGCCTGCAGCCAGGAGGGCAGCGCTGCCGGCTGGCTCATGGCCTGGAACAGCGTGGCCCTCAGCGCACAGAAATTATCTCCGCGGACTTGCCTTATGGAGGTGAACTTCTGAGATACCTCTTCGTAGCCCTGGGTGAAAGCATCAAAGACTTCAAAATGGTTGTTACAGACTTCAGGGAGAGTTTTATTTCTGTGGAAAAACATACCCCGTTCCCTGAAAGACTGGAAACAAGACTGGCTGAGTCCCTTGTGTAAGACATTCTAACTCCTTCTTTACTAATCAAAAGGTATTAACAGATGCTAATACTGTACAAAATACTGGCATATGTTAACAGATGCAACACACCAGAACATACAAAATAATACATATTTTAAACATTATTAAAATACTAACCACTCCCAAAGCTGAAGTTATACGTCCCTTTCTAAGCAACTGTCACAACACTTAGGTACTGATCAACGACACTATGCAGGGTTTAATCAGTGTTTAAACTGACCCTAAACCTTTAATGAAGAGACAGAAAAGGAGAGATGTACTAAATTTGTATCTCCATACACAACCCCCCCAAATTTCCATGGCACATTTTAAAGTCTATACGCCTTGGCCAGGTAGCTTAGTTGGTGAGAGTGGTGCCCCAATATGCCGAGGCTGCCGATCCAACCCCAGGTCAGGGCATATATACATGAAGCAACCAATGAGTGCATAAATAAGTAGAACAACAAATCGATCTCTCTTAATTAATTAATTAATTATATTTTAAGGTCTGCATGCTAGGAGATATCTGGATAATTCTGTTAGCCTTTTTTTTTTTTAAGTGGATTTAACTGTCATTCTTGTTCAGTCTGAGAGTGAAAGGAGGAAATGAAAATGTTCGGTGGCACGCTCGTCACTCAGAAACAGCCACCATGCTGGAACATTCTGAAGCACACTCCCAAAAAGGACACCAGAAAATCCTAGCGACCTGGTCCTTAGGCACCCTGATGACCTCATTTCTCTGGCCAGACACTGCTCAGACATCAGCATCAACTTCACTGCTTCCCCCAACTTGCTCGCTTCCATCCTGTCCATCCTTCCTCTTGTCCTGCTCTTCCCTGACAGTCACTGGATACCCTGCTTCCTGCCTGCACACCCAGAGGGAGAAGAGCCACTCTAACCCTGCAGACCGTCATCCCAGGGACTGGACCCTCGGTAGCAGTTGTTTTCAAGGGTCAGGCAACAGGACAATGTCCTCATATGAAATGTCCTCATATGAATGTCCTCATATGAGTAGATATGAAAGTACTTCTTTAAAACAATAAAATTTTGAGAGTCCCGTTTTTATGGAGCAGTCCACTCACTGTAATAGATATGGTCTGTCAAGCTGACTCATGTCTGCTAACTCTTCCCTGTGGGGGACCCTCAATTACACTGAGTACTCACAATGGCTAGGTCAACAGCAACTGCGCCTCTCCAAATGCACAAATTACTCATGCTATTTCAGAAGTGAGGCAAACTTTTAAAATTAAATTTGGATTTATACACACCTCCAAAAGAGTATCCAAAACAAAAACAGACAGATAAATAAGGACGGGAGAAAGAACTGAGATTCAAGCCGTATGAGGCCCTGAGACGTTCTCATTTCTGCCACAGGTCTTGCTGTGATGTTTCTATAACTGATGTGCCTTTGAGTCTTTGGTCACTGAGCAGTCCAACCACAGGGCCCAAGCTTTCTCTTGAAATAAAATGACGGAGGAATAGTTTCAGCATGTGTCCCAAAATACAGGATATCTGGAAACTTAGGAGTCATCTTCAGTTATGGAGCTTTAGGTGCCTGTTGTTGGAACAGATCCTTTAAAGACACTGAGGCCGTAAAATAAAACTGTTAAGTCAGTGAGAGCTTTTACGGGGAGATGAGAAAATCCAGGCACACCTCGGAGATATTGCAGGCTCGGTTCCAGACCGCCACAATAAAGTGAGTTCTCAAAAAGCGAGTCGCAGGAACATTTTGGTTTCCCAATGCACATAAATCTTTACACTATACCATAGTCTGTTAAGTGTGCTATATAGCATATGGTCTAAAAAGCAATGTGCATACTTTAATTGTTTTAAAAGACCCACAAATTGGTAGCCTACAAAACAGTCGGGGAGGTAAAGTGCAGCACAGGGAATCCAGTCAATAGTATAATAATAACTGTGTATGACGACAGCTGGGCACAGGGAATATGAGAAACGCCTCGTAAAGTACATGATTATCTAACCTCTATGCTCTACACCTGGAACCAATACAAAGTAATAATGAATTAGGCTGTAATTGAAAATTTAAAAATTTTAAAACAGAATAAAACGACATTTTATTGCTAAAAAAAAATGCTAACCATCATGTGAGCCTGCTGGAAAAAATGGCATCGATACGCTGGCTTGATGCAGGGTTGCCACAACGCTTCCATTTGTAAAAAATGCAATAAAGCGAAGCACAATAAAATGAGGTATGCCTGTGCAGCTTAGACACCTGGTCTACTGGTTATCTAGTTTGATACCGGGATGAAGGTTGTTAGAAAACTTATGAGCGGCTGATACCCATATTCAGCAGATGGCCTCACCAGTCTAAATGCACTTGACCCCTGGCAGGAACTGAGGGCCCCTGCTGTTGCACCACTGTGTTCTCTAACAAAGGACTAAGACTCGAAGAGCTGACAGTCCAGACTTGCAGTGGGCAGAGCTGCCATTTGCTCCCAGAGCTTGAAAAGTGGCAGCTACACTCTGAGAAAGATCAGTCCATTTCTGGGCAGGCCTGAGCAGCTGAGGAGCCTGCTGAAAGACGTGTGCTACTTTCTACAAAAACGAGCCACGGAAAAGAACAAATGTATTCAAATATTTAAAATCCTAAACAATACAGTTATAAACAAAAAATATATGAGAACGTTTCTACCAAAGATGATATATCAATATCCGTGCACTGGAATTCATAATGTAAATAAACCCAAGAGAAAATGAACAAAGGATATGACACAGTTTACAGCAGACGGTGGACCTGTCAGATTGAAACTGTCATTGTTTTTTAATCATTGATTTCGGAGAGAGAGGAAGCGGGGTCGAGGGAAACATCGATGTGAGAAACGTCAATCAGTTGCCTCCCACGTGCGCCACCATCGGGGACCCAACCCGCAAACCAGGTATGTGCCCTAACTGGGGATTTGAGCTCACAACCACTTGGGGTACTGGATGACGCTCCAACCAGCTGACCCACCGGGCCAGGGCAAAACTATCATTTCTGCAGCTCAGAAAGGTCGAAAAATAGCAGTTTTGCATGGTTCACACTACTAAGAAATATAGGATTCAGGGGGCATTCAAGGGCCACCAAGACAGTGTACTGCTTAGCCAGCTGTGCAGCGGGAGTGAGTCTAGGGGTCTGACCCGAGCCATGACCCAACCCAGTTACAACAGGACCATGTGAAGGGACTCCCCAGTGTCCCACAGCTTTGGAGACTCCGTTAGGGTCACCGATCTACGCAATGGCACTGGGAGAGGGCAGGTTCTGGGATGCCCCGAGTGAAGGGAGGAGCTCCAGATCCCTGTGCGGGAGGGGCCAGGCCCCCACTGGAGGGCATGAAACCAAACCCAGGTGGGGACAGTAGGGACAGGAAACCTCACCTGGCCAGGCCAGAAGGGCATTCCCAAGTGACCCTAAGGGAATGGCTGGCCCAACTCTAAATAGCAGCCATTTCTGTGATGCTCAAAGAAATCATGCTACTAAAAAAACTGAGGCTGATTCTATTTTAATACTGTGACTCAAAAAAAGTCCCTCATCTTTGGAATCTGTTTCCTCATCTCTAAATTCAGAACACCAGTTTCATAATTAACATCTGAAAATATAAAAGGACACACTAAATAATTACCCATGACAGACAAACCCGAAATATGTGCATCTGGCATCATACCTTTTTCATACATGTGGCATTTTCTGTATTTCCCCTCCATTCCTTTTTGCAGTAGTCCATGATATCCACTTCAGGAGCTACACTTAATCTAGGTTCTGTGAGACAGTCAAACAAAAGGGAAGAGGAGGAAATAGTGAAACAAAGCATAATCAGAACAACGGTACCGCTTTACGTGGGAATGACTTTTCTCTCACTTCATTCCAAAAAAAGATCCGGGCTCCCACTACCGCCTACCATCTGGTCCAGACCACTATCCCCTCACCCCTAGGTAACTACGGGCGAGGTCCCCCAACGGGTCTCCCTCATCTCCACATGGCAGCTGGACTGAGGCTTTTAACCTAGGTTGGACGATACCTACCACTCTGGGTTCCAAGAGCTCCCAGAGCCTCCCATCTCAGCTGGAGTGGAGCTGATGTCCTTCCTGTCTACAGCGGCCTCTCCGGCCTCAGCTCCCACCACTCCCCGCACTGCCAACTCCTGCTCCACCTGTAGCCTCCCCCGTGCTCCTCCAACACACCTAGCTCTTCCCAGTACCTGCTCCCACACTCTGTGCTGGTAGACTCCATGCAGGTGTCTGCTGCTCACCTCTGACCCCCTTCTGTCATAACATCGCACACCTTCATGCTATATTCCTTTTACACTATTTTTTCTTCTTCTTGGCACTGATCAATATCCACAATATTTCTTTTTCTGTATCCCCCTGCCCAGCCTCACACCCACATCCACACCCATGTATGGACACAGGAACACATGAGCTTCTAGAAGGCAGAGGCTTGTTTTACTTCTGTCTGTGTCCTCAGCACCTGCGACTGGTCGGACACAGCTGTCCATGAATATTGTTCTGATCAATTAAACATGCAACAGTCTGAGCTACAAGAAAATGCATTTAATGATTCGTAATTAGTTTTCCCATCCACTCTACAAAGAATTAACACTTCTGTAACAAGACATATATTTGTTCTTATTAATTCATAACCTGTCCTGATCCCCCAAAACTACAAGTTATTAATAAGCTAGAAAGTAATGGGGCGCTCAACATTAGCTGAACCACGGATCTCACATGACTCTCAAACACCTCTCCCAACTTAAAAACACAGATTATGATAAGATAAATGACACAGTGGGAGAACAGCCTTTGGGTTTTCCTTGTTGCTTAGGGTCTGACTCTGTGGCCAATGCACATGCAGACACACATGCACCAGTCCGTCTACACGTGTGTTCTAGGAAGGAAGGGAAGTACGTTCTCAGGCAGATCTTGACTTCCTTTTTAAATTATTGAAGTAAATGTTAACAAAGAAATCGGGATATAAACACAGAAGTACCTTACAATGTATCCACTCCAAAAGAAATGGTACATAAGAGATATTATATTCAGCTCAATTCAACAAATATTTACTTAGTGTTAATACACATCAAACGGGTTTAACGACCACTGAAGAAGAAAAAGCAGGAATCCACGAGCCAGGGGTGATGGGTGCTGAGATGGCTGGTGGAGCAACACAGACCAGGAGCCCCTAAGCCCGTCTTGCAGTTCAGCTAAATCCATCTGTTAGATGTTAAACGTTAAGAACTGCCTATTTTTTAAAAATCTCCTGGTGAACTCCTTCGTAAGGAAAATAAACCTTGTGCGTAAAAGGGGAAATAATACATATACGGAAAACACAGATTTATCTGTGGCATTAAATCAGGACTGGCTTAGAAGTAAACAAGACCCCTGAACCATTCATTACACAGAGACCACAAATTCCACCACTGCACAGCCAATTTTCAAATAAAGACGGATCATTACAGAAACTCAAGGAACATTTTTTGAATGTCTACTTAGTAGACAGAAGAGTTGCCTTGTATCTGCCTCCCCCCAAACCAGAAGGGACCACTAATGTCCAGATTCGAGCACACTTACTGGGCCATGTTCTCCCACGAGGGAGTGCATGTTTCCTGCTCAGGAGGGGCCACCCGGGGAGAAAGTCCACCTTCCTGCTCTCCTTGATTGCAGCCCTCATTCCTGCGCATGCCAAGACAAGACCTGGCCCCTTAGCAGGGACAGCAGGCCCACCTCCTCGGGACTGAGGGAGACGGCAGGGGGACTCACCTGCTCAGAAGGCAGCCACAGGCCACAATCCTGTGCTGAGTCAGATGAGTGAGGCCACAAGGCAGAGGAGATAGGGTCCACCCTGCACAGCTGCTAGCACCAAATGGTACTTTCATTCCCATTCCACCGCTCTTTTTTGAGAGGGGCTCCGACAGGCACTGCCCACTTTCCTCTAGGCCAGGGGTGGAAGGCGCAGGAGCAGCTTAGAGTGTACACAGCTCCTTTCTTTGTCTAACTGCAACTCTGCAACTGCAACTGCAACTGAAGACTCTATCAGGGAAGACCATTTCTAGTGGGAAAAGTGGGGCAGGGCTGAAAAACAGAGTGGTAACCAGGAGACAAAATAAACAAAAGGTCTGGTTCTTAACCACCACGTGGTGACAAAGATACGGATCCAATCCTTGGAAGATAGGATGTTAATGGTGAGCCCCTCCGGAAAGCTGAGACTCAACAATAAACTATGAAAGACCAGGTAAAACTGGGGGGAAAGGGCAAGAGCTGCAATTTCTATAGTGAGCCAGACAGAAAACAATCTAGGCTTTGAGGTCCATGAAGTTTCTGTCACAAATACTCAACTTTATCATGCATGAAAGCTGCCCTGGACGATCTGTAAACTAAGACCCAACAAAGCTTTGTTTACAAAACCAGGGGCACATCAAATCTGGCTAGGAAGCCATAATATGCTCACCCCTGGAGAAGGTGAAAAAGCCCTGTTTACTAACAAAGAGAGAATAGGAAGACTTTCTGTCTTGACCTGGCCTCCGACGTAGGGGAGAGGAAGTCACCCCTGCGAATTCCTACCCACAAGCTGGCTCGCGTACAGGGCCGGGCATGAGTTCAGAATGGCCGCATGACCCTGGACACACAAGTCTACATATTCACACGAAGTGTCCCGAGGGAAGGTGGCCTCTGGGTGCCTGGCAGAACAAGGCAACTCCTCCTGCACTCAAGCCAAGGTGCACAAATTCTACACAGATACGCAAGAGCTGAGCTTATAATTCAAACCTTGAAGAAGCAAGAAGTAAGCAAACAATATTATAACAATTGGCATAAGACAACCTACCAGGATTTTCAGAAAATGGAATTAGCAGACCTAGAAAAGCATGTTTAAAATGATTAAAGAAATAAATAAAAAATAAAATAAAAAACATCAGCAAAGAAAAATAAACTATCAAAAACGACCAGGCAAATTTGGGGGGAAAAAAACAGGATGTTTCCAGAAAAAGAAAGAGAGAGCAAACAGATCTGAATAAACTGTCCAGGATGCAACAGAGGCTACAAAGTAAAAAACACAGGAAAGCATGTGTCACCGCGAGCCCCAGAGAACAGAATGAGGGCTCGCGAACATCTAATTAGACTTCTGGTTTTTGTTCCCATTTTAAATAGAGTTGTTATATCAGTTGACACACTCAGTATTTTTAGTCAGTATTTTAAAAGTATATTTTACTGATTATGCTATTATAGTTTTCCCAATTTTTTTCTCCCTTTATCCCCCCACCACCCTCCCTCCAGCATTCCTCCCCTTTAGTTCATGTCCATGGGGTGTACATGTAAGTTCTTCGAATTCTGTTTCCTGTATCGTTCTTAACCACGCCCCGTCTAGTTTATGTCTACCAATTATGCTTCTTATTTCCTGTACCTTCTTCCTCCCCATTCTTCCCCTCCTCCTCCCCACCAAAAACCCTCCATGGGATGTTCCTTTCTCTGATTCTGTTCCTATTCTATTTGTTTGCTTAGTTTTTGTTTTCATTGTTTTTCTTTTTTTTAGGTTCAGTTGTTGATATTTGTGAGTTTGTTGTCATTTTACTGTTCATAGTTTTTGATCTTCTTCAATTTCTTAGATAAGTCCCTTCAACATTTCATATAATAAGGACTTGGTGATGATGAACTCCCTTAAACTTGACCTTATCTGGGAAGCACTTTATCTGCCCTTCCACTCTAAATGATAGCTTTACTTGGATAGAGTAATCTTAGATGTAGGAGTAAATGCAAAGAACTGGGAAAGGCGATATTCACAAAGATAATGGCTGAGAATTCTCCCAAACTGAGGAAAACTAGGCACCCAGGGATGCAAACAGAAAAAAATCACAAGCAATATGTTTTTTAAAAAATCCATACTTCAAGATATCAAGGAGAAACCCCCAAAACAAAAAGGAAAAAGAGGGAAAAGACAGGATTTTATCTACCAAGGATTAGTCTGACTGCAGTGTTTTTACTATAACAGAAACGAGAAGACAATGCAATAAAGTCTTCAAACAGATTAGAGAAAACAACTATTCATCTGGAGTTACTGAAGAAAGTGAAATAAAACTTCCCGACAAACAGAGCTTCCCCACCACAGACCCACACAGAGGCACTTCCAAAGGATGTTATTTCAGGGTGGCAGCAAATGAACCCAAAGGGCCGCGATGCAAGAAGGAATATAAATGGGTCCATTTTAACCTCAGACTACTCCTGGAGGTGACAAGGCCCCCTGAAAAACTAAGATGCCTGCACGGGGCTACACTAGCAGACAGCTCGGAATCACTGTAGAGCCTTCAGAGTGGAAAAGAAGTGAGAGGTCTCTGCAGACGTAGCAGGGACGCACCGCTGCCAGAGAAGACTTCCTCCTCAGGAATTCGACTAACAAGGACACTGCTGCAGAACTGAATTCTGTGCAATCGCGGCCGTGGCAGCCAAGCACCCTCTGCCGATTTACGGAGGACCAGAAGAGTGCCGTGCAGAAGCGCGCTTCACTGACCACTGCGAGGGACCTTCCTGTGCCCACCAGTGAGGAGTCCCCTTCTTCAATTCTTGAAGAAGAATTGAAAATGACCAGTAAAACCCACTTTGTATCATTTCTTCCTTATTACACATACGATAATACTTTTTTACCATGCAGGGGTAATACCTGTTAACCATGCAGGGGTGTTTAACCCATGGCCCAAGGGGCGCATGCAGCCCAGGACGACTATGAATGTGGCCCAACACAAAATTGTAAATTTGCTTAAAACCTTTTTTTTTTTTTGCCCATCAGTTTTCATTAGTGTTTGAATATTTAATGCGTGGCCAAAGACAACTCTTCGTCCAATATGGCCCAGAGAGGACGAAAGGTTGTCCACCCCTGCAAAAAGTAAACAGAAGCTAGTTCTCCAAACGAACCAGCAGAACACACAAGACGCACAGGTAAGAAGAGAGAAAACGGCACTTGTGCGTCATCTGGGCCGTATCGCGAACTGAAACGTTCCCCACTCTGCTCCCGCACAAGGCTCGCTGGAGAAGCAGGGAGGCCCGTCACATACAGCCCTGCCAGCCGTGCGGACAGTGGAGGAGGCCAGGATGTGATGCCTCACCTTAGCAGCACTGATGGGTCCAAGGGCCCTGGACAGGTGAGAGGAGCCACCAGGACTAAGTAGAAACATGGACACGAAATCGTGGAATGATGAGAGAATCAGTGCTACCGATCCCATGGCCATTGTCTTACAGGTGGACCAAATTCACATGACCATGTGATGCAAAGACACGCTTCTCAACAAGTCCTCCCTCTCGATGAACACCGCCCTGCAAAGCCAGACCCTCCCTCCAAGAGTGTAAGGCAATCAAGAACTGAGAGAGGGTGGTGTCAAGAGATTGAACAAATGTGCACAGATGTGGAAACAACAGGATTGTAAAGAACACAGGGAAAATATTAATACTGTCATTAAAATGATAAAAACCTCAGGAAACACCATTAACCAAACAGACTTTAGCAAAACACATAATCATTGCAGATAAGACCTCACATGTGTTTCCCGGGAAGTACATCTTAAAGTTTTATGAGAATGGATATACCGATTTAACAGCATTTTCTATTACAAACAGGAGCATTCTATAAATAAAACAATTCCAAACGTACCTGGTAACCCTCTTTCATGTATAGGTAATTCTTTCTCCTTTTTTATTTCATCATCCGAGCGGTATATGTCCTCCTCACTGAAATTACACCAAACGAGACATTTTAAAAATGTGTTGCACTGACATTTTCCCTCTTATCCCAAGTACGGGTCCTTAAAAACTGACAAGACATTTCAAGTTTAACTTTTTCATATTCATAATGACAATCTGATCAAATATGGGTCTTTCACCTTAGATGCTCATGTTCCTATCATTCTCCTTCTGAGTGTCTTACTATAAATAAGACCTTTTACATCACTCTACTTGCTGCCTGGCCCTGGGCTACTTACGCCTCATTTGCATATGAAAGCATCTCAGCACGTGTCTTATCAAGGAAGCAGTGTCACAATTCTATCAAGTTCTGAGAATATAGTGCTATTAAAAGTAGTAATGAAGAATGCAGGCCAATGGCCCACTTTACTGTCACAAGCAAATTTGACAATAGCTACTCTAAAAACAATAGGCAAGCATCAATTATTAAGCCCCCAAAGCTAAAAAAAACACCAGTGATGAAACATCAGTCCCCTCTCAGTGAGACGAGAGACTCCCTGAGTGGGTCTCCCGTGAACTAACAAGAACCTACTCAGCACCGGAAAGGGAGAAAACACCACTGGTGCTAGACCAGCACGAAGTGGTCCTGCTTCTGGTTTCAGGGACTTCTGGTTTGGAGGATGCCTCCTCTCCCCACAACACACACCACGTGACAATGACGGGAAACAGAAACACTGTCTTTGCTGAAGCCACAGGACCTGCGCCAGTCCAAAGCCGGGCAAAGGGGTAGTAAGTAAATGATGGGGGACGGGGAAGCCTTGCTGCCTATGGAAGGGCATCCTCGCAAGGCAAGACCCGCTGACCCTGCAGACCCCAGAAAGGCTCAGGAAGTAGGGGAGCCGAGTACTTCAGAAGGGACAGCAGACACCCAGAGCTGAAAACAAGGAAACTGGCTGATGAAAGCACAAGGAGTGAGCAGGCCCTCGATTCCTTATGCTCCCTCTCGATGACAACACACCCCCAAGCTCACACAAGGCCAGCCGCTCCGGGCACAACAGAACACAGGAAGGAGTTGATAGGATCAATATACCATAAGGAATTATTAAGTGAGCAACTGAAGCACTCCATCCCCAATTCCCTTAGCTCCCCCGACCCCCACCCCGTCCCTTGTCTATGGCCTACTACAGCTGGGAAAAAGCTGTATTAGGGGTGAGAGGGAGAAAGGGAATGATAAAGAGGGGGCGCTAAGAGAGGTGGCGAATCTAACATCCCTGCCTCTCCCCACCCCACTGAAAGCTTCAGTGACTCCCAAAGAAGAAAGAAAGGCTAAAATCTGGACCTAAACCACCAGTCTAGCCAGTATCCTGTGGCTTCCCTGAACACACCCACACCAGTCCAAAGTTTCACAGCCTTGAGCTTTCACACCCGTGGTTGGCTCTGCCTATTCCCTCTGCCCGACGGTCACGTGCCACGGCTGGAGTGGCGACCCCGAGTTAGAAAGTCAGGGTTTACCCTCTGCTCACACCAGCCCTTATCAGCTGTATGTATGAGCATGGAACACCTCTCAGCCTGCATTTCACCCCTGAAAAGGAACCCACCTCAAAAGACTGTGAGGAGATCCGTGTAAAATAGTTAGCACTCAAAAATGTTAGCTACTCCTATGAATCCTCATACTACACCCATTAGTGCAAAGTATTAATACATAATTTGCTCAATGACCATTTCTTATCCCTCTTTTTTCTCTAAAACAAAGGTAAGGGTGTGTGTGCGCCTATTTTTTTTAGTGTTCTGGGGTTGAGGGGTCAGACTCGGGAAAGGGTACTTTCCGTGCACTCTGGCTCCAGTCAGATGTCAAGTAAAAGGCGTGATGTCACCCGTGCAGCCTGTGCCAGAGTTCAAGGCAAACAGAAACCGGAATCGCAGAGACTATACATCAAACGGCTAAAATAAAGAGTGACTAAATGTGCTGGCTCTTCGTTCACTAATTTAATGACATCTTCCAGCTACCTTGCTAGCTTTGTCAAATATGAGAGACATGCTGACCCTACAAAACAGACATTCAAGTGAGTCACTTCCAAAACACTCCCAGAAGCACAACTTTGGGCCAGCGCTTCCCTAACCATGGCCTGTTTTCTCATCTTCAAAACGAGATGACTGGACAAGATCTATATTCTATATGGTCTACATCAGCGATTTTAAAGCCTTTTCCACGTCCTGGCACACATAAACTAATGACTAAAATTCCGTGGAACACCAAAAAATAGACAGTTTGCTGATCTGACAAAAATACTGGTACAATTTTGATTCATTCACACCAGACATCTACTTTTGTGTTGGCTGAAGGCATTTTTTTTTTTAAATTCACAATCTAAGAGGAAAGAGGTCAGTGCCTCTGACTAAATAGCCAGGTATTGCATGTTTTAAAATTCTTGCAGCCACCAGGTGAAAACTGCTGATCTGCACGATTCCTTTCCCAGGTCTTACTTCTAAAAGAGTAGGAATCTGCTTGTCAAATACTCTATCTCAAGCGAATTCTGCAGCTATACCGCATGCACATTTGGCTCTGCTGTGTCCTCTTCCTCTTCGATCTACAAAATAATCAAAGTGCAATCACGACGCCTGTGCCCAAGTGTTGTGACTTCTATGAACGAACGTTTCTCATTACAGCCACAGACACAAATTCCCACAAAGGCCAACAGGAGAGGAACGGAAAGAAATCAAAGGGAAGACAGAAACAGAAAGTGAGGCTACTGGAAATTTAAATAGCAGTGTTTCACGGTATGCAAAAGAAGCAAAACAGAAATTGATGAATGGGCCCCAGAGTATATTCAAATTACTTTAACCACAACTAGATTTCTTTCAGACCGTGTGCACAAATGTTTGCTAACTTCCAAGGCCACCCCAAAAAACTGTACTATGGCCTTTAAAGTCCACCTAAAAAATTATCCTAAAGCTGTATTTCCTTGCAGAGAAAATAAGTTTTAAGTTTCAGCAAAAAAGCTCAATCAATATGGTCAAAAAAGAAAACAGTTCAGAGAAAAATGAGATAGTCATCCAACATAAGAACAACCAACAGAAGAGAGAGATGTATGAGAGCAAGAAAAACTTTTTATTTAAGAAAATACTTCACTCAATAAACTTTTGCCTTAACATTTCTTGTTTTAAACCATCACCCAAGGATATGTTTATTGATTTTGAGAAACACTGATTTGTTGTTCCACTTATTTATGCATTCATTGGTTGCTTCTATTTTTTAAAGGTTTTATTTATTTATTTATTTATTTATTTATTTATTTATTTATTTATTTTTAGAGAGGGGAAGGGAGGGAGAAAGAGAGGGAGAGAAACATCAATGTGTGGTTGCCCCTTGCACACCACCTTTTGGGGATCCGGCCCGCAACCCTGGCATGTGCTCTGACTGGGAATAAAAACAACGACCCTTTGGTTCACAGGCCAGCACTGAGCCATACCAGCCAGGGCTCACTGGTTGCTTCTTGTATGTGCCCTGACCAGGGACTGAACCTGCAACCTTGGCATCTTGGGACAATGCTCTAATCAACTGAGCTCCCTGGCCAGGGCAATGTTGTATTCTAAATTATAACCTTCCTCTTGCTCTGTTCAAAGACCTGCATAACAGTGGAATTTTGAAAACTTAATTTTAAAAAGCTTACTACATATAGACAAAATTACACTATTCCCAAGAACAAAAGCTAAGCTAAAAACACAGACCTCATCAAAGCAGAAGACATTTCTGTGAAGCCAATTTTTCAATTTGATACAAGTAAAGATGTCACATGAAAAATGTCAATGCTGCAAAGCTAACAAGACAGCATTTTAATCACCCACCATTATGAACATTTGCACCAACTTCCCCTTACTTGTCTAAAAAGTTAAACTGAGTATGACTTCCTTCAGCTCTCTGGACCTGAACACTGCAGTTCACGCTTAACTTGGCCCTTTCCTAGGAGACTAATGGCCCAGGCAGTGTTGGTAAGACGTGTCAACCACTGTGACACTGACGTACCTTACCACACAGGAAAAGCAAAGACCACTCAACCCAGCCTTTCCACACCGCTTACCGGTTCTCGAGACGGTTGAATAACACATCAAATGCAGGAAAGTACCAGCACCCAGGCCAAACGTCCACCTCCCTTCTGAGACTGGACTTTCCACAACTGGCTCATGCTATTCCACGTGACTTCCAAAGGTATCTAGGGACAACCCAGAACCTTCAACAATGAGGTTTGATTCTCAGAGATATCCAGGCTCTAAACCTGGAAGCAGGCTCTATATCCAGGTGGGGGAAACAGTGGGAGGGAGTAGCTGTTACTCTATCAAGTACAGATCCTAGGAGCGCCTGCAGTGTGAGGCAGGTAGAAAAACTCATTGGCACAATAGTGTATTTAGCAACAGCCAGGAACATCAGTTTAACAATTTGTTGTTCACAGACCTTTTGAGAATCCACAGCTTGCATCAGAACCTCGGCCCAGAAAAACATAAATACACATAGAATTTTGCCTTGAATTTCAGATATGTCCCCACCCGCCAACCCACAGTCAGCCCACGGGCCCCAGATTCAAACCCTGGTCCTGTATAGGGCAGACAGAGAAAGGCCATTGGAGTAGTCTCACTTGTCAATTTCCTAAGCATGTCTAGCCTGACCACCAGCGATGTCTCAGGGCCATCTTGGTCCTCAGGGACTACAGTATGGAGTGGCTTAACTAAGAGCAAGAAGTGGATATAGCATAGGTTTCAAATGCAGAGTGAGAATAAAGAATGAGAGACCTGCTGACACAAGCAATGAGGAAGCTTCAAAACAAGTTCAACTGAATTTGGCCAGACCCAAGATATCTTTAAATGGGATCCTAAGTTATCTCGAGAGCCATCCTCAGGGCTGTCGGGGAGATGCCAATCAACCACAACCCTCAAATGAGCTAAGGAGGGAAGGTGAGAGAGAAGGAAGGAGGAAGGAAGGAAGGGAGGAAGGGAGGGAGGGAGGGAGGGAGGGAGGGAGGGAGGGAGGGAGGGAGGGAGGAAGGAAGGAAGGGAGGGAGGGAAAGATGGAGAAGATTTAGAAAGTAGCTCATCCATGTGGTTATCAAGTCATTTTGCTCCCTTGCTAAATACAGTGAGCTTAGTGCAAAGCACAGATATTCAACCTGTTTCACCTCATAGTACACGTAACTGAATTACGAAAATGCTGTGGCACACCAAAAAATATATTTGCTAATCTGACCAAAAAATAGGTATAATTTCAATTCATTCACACCAGATGGCTATTGTTGTGTTGGCTGTTATCATTTTTTTATTGGATAATCAAAGGAGAAAGAAGTCAGTACCCCTGACTAAATGGTCAGTTATTGCATGTTTTTTATAATTTCTGTTGTTGTTGTTTTTCATCTTCACCCGAGAATATTTTTATTACTGATTTTAGGGGGAGTGAGAGGGGGAGAGGCACGGAGAAAGAGACACGAACACACGGCTGCCTCATGCATGTGCCCCAATGGGGGAGATCAAACCCCCAACTAGCTTTGTGCCCTGATCAAGAATCAAATCCGTAACATTTTGGTGTACAAGACAATGCTCCAACCAACTGAGCCACCTGGCCAGGGCAGGTATCGCATGTTATAAAAATTCTTGCAGCACACTGGTTGAAAATCACTAAAGAAATCTGTATCTTACAGTACTGCCTAGGAAATGACCCATCCCTCCCCATACCCATCACCACGCCCTTCAGAGAATCACAGTCCATACAATTAATGGCTACAAAGTTGGGCTAATGGTTTGTATTCATAATTATTGTCTTCTGAATGCATTAAAAGTGACTGCAGTTTTATGGTGTTTCATTTATTCAGGGGCAAAAATTTTACTCAATTCCTATGCAGGCCAAACCCAATTCTTTGAGTGAGAAGAACAGAGTTGGCTCCAATGACAGAAAAACACAGTTTAAAAACTACTTTAGGTGGTAATTCAGGCATTACATTATTTATTTAAATCTATACCCAACTACTAGGCTGCATATTTCATCATGTAAGAATTGATGTGCACACACTATACTGCAAAGTATAAAATAAGCAGTTTATATGATATTGTAAGCACAGTTTCTCCAGCCCTTAAAGCAAAGAGAAAGAGCCTTACTGCCTATACAACAGGGAAGAAGGCTCAAAATATAAGGAGAGGTTCGAAATTTGTTGACACCTGCAGTAACCTTCACCTCCTTTCCCTTGCTCCTTCTTGTGCTCTCATGAGAGTTAAAGGAGAACAGGGTCATCAAATGAGAGCAGGGAAAAGGGAAACTAAGCCTTAAATAAACTGCAAACTGAAACATCTATGCCAGAAAAGAAAAATCTTAAGTTTGCTGTCACAAATCATGTCCCTCTGCCTGCACTGCTGAGGAAGCCAGAAAAAGATGCGAGACAATTCCCACCCAGACACCTTGGCTCTGAACCTGCTCCTGTGCCTCACTGATCAAACTGGACCTATCCACCCGCAACTTGGTGTCGTAATGTGTAAGATGACACATCTAGGCTGGTTTTTTTAGATTCCTCTCAGCGCTGAGTCCATAATCCTACTGACAGCAGACGGAAGAGGACGCAAAACCTTTTTGTCAGGAAGGAGTGCTTCTTTCACACCATGACCCATTTCCCCGGGTGCTCAAACTCAGGGAACCACATCCAACAGAAGTTGCCGAATAACTGCATACTTTGAGAAACGTAATTCTGGCATCAGTAGTTTCTGTATCACCCATGGGGCACGAAACTGTTCAGGTGGAGGCTGAGCAGCAGCATCCAAGGGCCAGGGCCATCAAGTAGGGGCAGAAGTGAAGCAGTAGCAGTTGGGGAACTAGGGACTGTGAGGGAGGAGGGGCAGAGGCAGAAGGTGCTGAGCCTTTACCAGTTGGAGTCTGAGGTTGGTCTCCAACTTGGGGAGCAAAACTGGAGCCACAGGTCACATTAGCTCACACATGGGCCTGCTCAGTGGTTTCAACTGAGTAAAATAAAATGCTACTATTGAAAAAATCAGGGCAGTCCACACAAAAGTCAGGATAGGTGGGGTTTTTTTAAATACAGAAAAGTCTGCCACTGTAGGCTGAAACTTAGCAGACCTAACCTGAACAGAGATGGGCCCTGCTTTCCAGGAACACCTGTCCAGTTTTACTCAAGTGACCTGCCTCACTCCTGGGAGTTTGAGATACCCCACTCTACATACTTCCCAGTGGCCATTAAGCATGGATCATGACATCCCAAAGGGTATGGTGCTCAAAAAATGAGAATGTCATAGCCCACAGTAAAGCAGCACGCAAAGGAGAGTTATAATACACTCTCTGCATAGCAGGGCTGCAATGGGCCCCTTTTAAGAAAATGTAAAGCTGGAAAAAAAAAGCACATTTAAGTGCACCCTACGATTCAATTTCCCAGCCAATTAAGCTATCTATCAAACTGGTTATCTAAATGTTTCCCTCAATTTTGGAACTCAAAGGCATTTGTTACAGGCCTAGAACTTGGAAAGTGTAGAAAGGTCTCAGCCTTCAAGTTTACGTTCTGCTTCCACACCCAGCCCCTTGCAGAAATTAGAAGAGCTTCCGATTTATGCGGCCTTCTTCACAGTTCTGCAAGGAACTAGGCTAACCGGCACAGCACAGCCTTCCGTATTTAACAATAAAAGGGGAGAAGGAGTATCTGGTGAAGCCATTAACAAGCCAAACAAATTTGGGTCAGACTCCGTCCAAAATCTAACCAACAGGTGGGACGCTCATCAAGCGGCAACCTGCCTCTCAAGAACACACGTGTGGCGTGGCTCAATTTTCCTACCCGGGTGAAGGGAAAATCCACTGGGTGTTAGTTATAACACACTTCTTGGTTGTTTCCAAAGCTGCCTGAGCTTTAACTTTAGACCTATGAAGATAGCCGAAACAGGGAGGAAGAGGCACTAGGTAACCATAATTGTGAGAAGGACCTTCCCGAAAAACATTAGTACTCTCTGTCCCCGACTAGCTTGCTTAGAATCAAGGGTACAAAGGACCCTCCACCGGCTACTCCCTAGTCCACTCCACGCCCAGGCTTCCAGAGGGAACCGAGCCCGGAGCCCCGTGCCACCCCCGCAGCGCTCCGCAACTCACTGGTCCGCCTGGCTCAGCACTACGACTCTGGCGGGGCTAGGAGACGCGGCCGCCGCCTCCCGCACCAACTTCTCCGCACCGCTTGTGCCTGGCCATGCTCCAGGCTGGGGCATGGTCCCCCGACTCATGGGGCCGCCTGCGACGGCAGGAGGTCAGCGCCTCCGAGCGATCCAGGGCCCTTATTGTCAGGGCGCCCGACTGAAGCAACTGCCGCCCCCAACGCCGCCTGCTTGGTTCCAAGAGTGCACAGACCGCTTCCGCGCGCGTCACCGCTGCCCGCCCCATGGCCTCTGACCCTCACCGAGGGGGCGTGGCCCGTGGGACCAGTAGCAAAAGGACTGGAAGCCTGCGCATGCGCATGCGTGGGCTGGGCAGCAGGCTTGGAGGAGTCCGGCGCGGGTTGGTCACTGCGCATGCTCCGCCTCTCCTAGCTATAATTTTGCTTCGAATGTGCTGGCTGCCAGCTTGTCTTCGATGTTTTGGGCATCCTGCGGCATTAGAGGAGGGGAGGAGTGGTTGTATGGCGGGACATGTCCTCAATTAGGAGGACCAGAAAAACCTGCCCGAGTAGTTCACTCCTCGTTAGGGCGCTAACGTGTTTGGTCACCACGCACTGTCACTCTGGGCTTCCGAGTGTTGCTCTACACCGACCTGGGTTTCCTCAACTATACAGAGAGAGACGTGGGCAGAATGAGTGATGCTCGGCTTGCCTGGCTTTTCTTGACAGTTCCTTCAAGATCCGCCTTCTCCCCCTCCCCCACCCCTACCCAACCCAGCCCAAAGGGCTTTGGCCTTGGGGTTCCGGCCCCTCCCCTCCATGAGGGCGGGAATGGCGATCCTGCTCCATTGGATGGTTGAGCAAATGCAGCAGTGTGTTCTTGGACTGTATTCTTTCAGATAGAAATTTTGATTTAAGAGGAACAAGAGCAAAGGGAAAATATTACCAGACTTAGAAGATCTGAAAGTGAAATGATTCATCACCGGGAAGGGAATAGAGTAGTAGCCTCTAAAGATGAGCAGCAGCCATGGGTGCAAGGAGCATCGTCAAGCAATCAGGGCAGAACTGGGTAGAGAAGGAGGGAAGGGCATGGCAATTCGGAAACGAGCAAGTATTCAGGGGCAAAACAAGTGGGTAGCCGGGGATTTTACTGAAAGATGAAACTGGAAGAAGGATATTGGAGATCAGAACATGAAGGGCCACCTTAGGCTGACTAGGGAGCCTGTGCTTGTTCCTTGTTGCAAGACAGGAAGGATATCATTTTGGAAGATCACTTTGTAGTTAAGAAAAGATTGGACAAGGGCAAGACTGAGAGACCAGCTTAGGGAGACTAAATGGTAGTGGGCACACAAAAGAGAAACTGAATGGAAAGAATATTTGCATTTTGAGGCAAAGAACTATGGGGTTTTTTCCTTTAATTTTACTTGAAATTGTAATCAATGCCCATGCTTAAAAAATCAAAGAAAAGAATGTATGAATTGTGTTTTTATGGCTATTAAAGGTGTGGGATGATATTTGGGTGAATAGTGTCCCCCAAAAGTCATATCCTGAACCTCAATGTGACCTTGTTTGGAAATAGGGCCTTCTCAGATTTAATCAAGATGAGGTAATGCTGGATTAGTCTGGGCCCTAAATCTAATGACTGGTGTCCTTATAAGAGGAGAGGATGCAGAGATATGTAGACACAGAGGGAATAAAGACACGTGGAGATGGAAGAAGAGGTTGGAGTGGGTAGCTTCAAGCCAAGAAATTCCAAGAGCCAGTAGGAGCTAGAAAGAGGAAAGGAAAGTTTATTCTAGAGCAACACAGCCCTGCTGACAGCTTCAGTTCAGATAGGTAGTCTCCAGGACTGCAAAAGAGTAGATTTCTGTTGTCTTGAGCCATTCAGTTTGTGGTACTTTGCTATAGCATACGGAGGAAACTAATACAAGGACCAAGACAAAGGATTATAAAGTGGTATTGGGCTTAATTTATAACTCCTTTCATCACTTGACTTCCATCCACCCAAGAGTGGCTACACTAAATGAAGTGCCAAAACTGCCTGAGATACTACTGTAGAGGAATTCATACAATGTCATGGGAACATTGGAATATTAGAGTGTATTTTTTACGTAGGACCTGCTCACATACCCCAGCAATGCTCAGAGGATATTACCTTTCACCATGACGGTGAGAAATAAATTTGTTAGGGGAGCCCCAGCATCCTTGAAGAAAAATGTAATTGCTCTTCTCTGGAGTCAAATATACCTTAAAGTGGAAACTGCTACCACCAAACTGGATTCCTAAAAGCCATGGGGATTTTGAAATCCCAGGTTGGCATGAACCAAGGGTGTTACTTAATTGACAAAAACTAGGTGGGCATGGTTACTGCAATGGACAGCTGAACTAAAGCAGTAATCAGAAATGTCTGACTTGCAGTTTCTAGACTTGAGTCAATTTATACACCCAGAACTCTTTGAATGAAGGGAAGGCACATCCTCTTTAGCAAGTGCCTTGCTACATTGCCAAAAATGTATAATGTTATTCTTGTCCCCCGCTTTCTCCAGAAGGTCCTGTGGACATCTACCAGAGCAACCGTTCACTGGGGGAAAAGACCTAGTCAGACTTTGGAGGGATTAGAAGACAATGACTCTAATCTGACACTAATTCATGAAAACCCAAAACATCATTGTGTCTACCTATCACAGTAGGGCTTAGGGAGATCAAGAGTTCAATGGAGTTTTAAGCTCAGGTTCATCTCACATTAGGCCCAGCGGATGTCTGAACACAGCCTGTGGTTATCTCCCCAGCTCCAGAATGCATGATTAAAATAAACAAGCTCAGCCACTATCGGAATCCCCACATTCATTCCCTGACCTGTACAGTGAAGGTAGGAAAGCCAAACAGAAGCCACTAGAACTGTCTGTACATAAAAAATGTAAACCAAAAGCAATACCACATTCTTGGAGGAATTGTAAAGACTAGCACCACCATCAAGGACTTGACAGTTGCAGAGGCTGTGCTACCCACCACGTCTGTCTTCAGCTCACCTATTTGGCATGTTCAGAAGACAGCTAGCTGAGCCTTGGATAATGACATAGGATTTTCATAAATCTAATTATGTGGTGATTCCAGATGCACTGCTTTTCCAGATGTGGTTTTCTTGCTTGAGCAAATCAACACATTTCCTAGTACCTGGTAGACAGCTATTGATCTGGCAAATGTTTTTTTCTTCTATACTTGTTGAAGAAGACTGCCAGAAGGAATTTAATTCAACTGGCAAGGCCAGCGGTACATTCTCACTGTTCAAACAGTACAGTGCAACCCTTCAGTCTCACGTCATGATTTCGTCTGCAGGGATCTCCATCCCTCTCCTCTTTCCCTTCCACAGAACATCACACTGCTCCATTAGATTGGCGAAGACATGCTGATTAGTCCTGGTAGATAGGAAGTAAAAAATCACTGTACACACATTGGTAAGATATTTGCGTCCTAGAGGATGGGAAATAAATCCCCTAAAATTCAAGTGCCTTCTAACTCAGTGAAATTTCTAAAGGTCCAATGGTGTGGAGTACACCAAGGAAAAGAATAGTGTTTCTATTTGGCCCCTCCTACCACTACTTAAAAGGCACAACAACTAGTGAGAGAAGAGAAAGCTGCAACAGCTCCAGGCTGCTCTGCCACTTCAGTCACATAATCCAGCAGATTTAATGGTGCTTCAAGTGTCAGTGGCACAAAGAGCTGCTATTTTAGTCTTTGGAAAACACCTAGAAGTGAATCACAAAGCACACCCTTAGGATTTGGGAGCAAAGCCCCGGTGGATATCTCCCCTACTTTTGAGAAACAGCTTCTGGCCTCCTACTGGACCACAGAGGACACTGAATGCTTACCCATGAGCTACCAACTTACCCTGTGAACCTGAGCTCAGTGAAATATCATGTTAAGAGATTGTAACCTTGATGTGATCTGATGAAAATGACACTGCCCTTCTGTGATCTTCCCAAAAACCATAACCCCAGGATAACTATGAGAAAAATGTCAGACAAGTACACATTCCATTAAAGAGGCATCCTGAAAAATGTTTGACTGGTACGCTTCAAAACTGTGAAGATCATCAAAACCAAAAAAAAATTCAGAGGAACTACATCACTGAAGAGAAGCCTAAGGAGACATGACAAATAAATGTGTTGTGATGTCCTGGATGGGATCCTGGAGCAGAAAGGGGTATTAGGTTAATGAAAGTCTGAATAGACTATTGACTTTAGTTAATAATAATGTGTCAGTGTTGGATGTTAGGTGTAAAAAATGTACCATATTAATGTAAGATGTTAATAATAAGGCAAACTGGGTGAAGGGTACATAGGAGCCCTGTACTGTTTCCTGCATTTTTCTGTAAATCTAAAACTATTTTTAAAAATAATGCATATTAGGAAAAGATCAAACTCAAATGGCCATGGTACAGTGTTAAGCCAAGAGTTTCCAAAACGATGAATATCTAGTTATATTGTTCTTATTTTGAGCTTCAATGGAAAGTTTTAAATGTAAATGTTAATTATTTCATCTTCAATCTTTTAAAAATTTCTATTGTGTATATGTGTTACTGCATACACAGTACATAAGTACACAGGTACATGTGTGCATTTTAATATATGTATATTGGAATATACTAACATTTTTATTAACATTACAAAAATAAATTATTAGAGAACAAATGTAACAAACTAAATAGGGCAAAAACTAATTTAGGCTTTCTTAACTGAAATTGTGAGAAGCTCACGAACAGTAATATAATTACAATGAATAGCCTATTCTTATGTCAAGATGAATAAATAATAACAAAAAATCTATAAGTTAAGTAACAGCCCATATAATAACATTGCTAGAGACAATTCCACTTAGTTTCCAGCTTCTTCTTAGAATTAAACATTCCTAAATTAGATAACTAAAACTTATATGATGTTATTATACTTTGTAAGTCCTTAGACTTGTAAACTTACATTTAGAATCATCTCAGATTAATAGAGCTACTTTAGTGGCCTCGGGCAGAATAGATAGACTGAAAGACTGAGTTCCTCTTTAAACACTCCAGCCGTTACTCACAAACACTGTTCGTGAAGAACACTGCTGAACCATTAGAGTGTTTGTGTTTTTGTTTGTTTGATTGACTCTTAGTTCTCTACATGGAACTCAGTACAAGTTAGATGCATATCTCCTTTGGCAACACCTTAAATATCATATTTTACAGCAATGTCAAGACACCCTATATTTATGCTTTATGGAATTTCCC